AGATTTATGAAAATTATTCACTATGGTGTAGAAAAAATTTAGAGTATGAATATTTGTATTTCTTATATTTTAAAGCATTCTTTCTCATACAAGAAATATTTCAAGTGAAACTTGTTTATTTTTCTCTCAAGTCGGCTTTGATTAGCCCAAATATTTAATACTGTGGAGTGTTGTGACGGGCGAGTTCACTTTTTTTATTAACGCTTAGATAATTTACCAAATGATACGTTCACTGATATACAAAAAAGTTTAGTCTAAATTCAATTGATCTAGCGAGACCTAAAAAGTGACATACATAGCAACAGAATTTTCGCATTTTTCGCATTTAAAATGTTGGCAAATATCTTTTGCTTGCGTCGTTGCTCGCGTGTATTAAGCTCTATTATATCTATTAATGGTTACTTACTTATTATGAAAAGGCAGTGGTAGCCCAGTGGTAACGCGCTCGCTTGGAAAACCGAGTGAAGCTGGTTCAAATCCAGGGTCTTGCACCTCTGATATTTTCATGTGCGAATAATTTTCAACATGATTACCATTTGTCTTAACGGTGAAGGAAAACATTGTGAAGAAACCTGCATGTCTGAGAGAACCTAGCAAGTTTTCAAAAGATATGTGATGTCCGTGGTGGACTATGGCCTGATCCTCCTCGTATTGAAGGGAGGCACGTGCTCAGCAGTGGGACGTTAAAAAGTTCTTATATAAATAATTTCATTGATAGCCCTTTCTTATTAAGCTGTTTGAATTTTAAGGTTCCAAAATTTAGTAAGCGTAACCACGATATTTTTGACCTGCCATGTACTAGAACGAAATATGCTCGAAATACCTTTATACTTCGCTCATGTAATGAGTATAATAAAAAATTTACAAGTATAGACATATTTTCAAATTCACTTTTAAGTTTCAAAAATAGTATTAATAACCTATTGTTTAATTGTTGATTTTGTATTTTATGTATTTTATATTTTTCCTTATTTTTTATATTTTTTTTATTATTCATGTTAAGCAGTGTTTCATTTTGTAATTTTTTAGTTTATTGTTTAGCTTTTTGTTTTTCTCTTTTTCATTATTGTCTGCTTCTTAAGTGTATTGTTTATTTGTGGAAACTTCATTGGTTTATGTGTCATCTATTATTATTAATTATTTATGTAATATCGTACTGTTTGTTTCCCTAAAAAAATAAATAAAATAAAATAAAATACTTACATATATTGTTATTCTATTTCTAAATAAATAATAAAATGATCATACTTGTTACTCTTATTAGCACATCCATGTTATCTAATATAGTCCTTCAATATATAAAATAAATATATGTATCTATCATATGTATACACTTGTATATACAATTAGAAACTCGCTCTCGCGTTGCTCGGGTTCGTTCCTAGATTGCTTGTTCATACAAACTTTCACCCCAATTTTCACCCCCTTAAGGGCTTATTTCCGGAATAAAACCTATCCTATTTCCTTTCCAGGGACTCAAACTCTATTCTTACCAAATTTCATCTAAATCAGATCTGTAGTTTTGGAGCTTATTCGGTACAAGCAAACAAACAAACAAAAAATCTTTCCTCTTTATAATATTAGTATATGTAGATGAAATATATGTGATAATGCGCTAGAAGCCGCGGGTAACTGAAAGTTACTTAGATCACAAATAAAATAAAATATCACATTGTAAGTAGTCTATTGTCTCGAATTTGTTGATTGATATTTTGTCACCCGGACCCGTAAGATTTACATGCACACCTGTTCTCATTAACTCATTCTCATAATAATCTAACTATAGTGTTTATATTTATCCTTTATGTATTTTAAATCTATACTAATATTATAAAAAGGCAGAGTTTGTTTGTTTGTTTGTTTGTTTGTTTGTTTGTTTGTTTGTTTGTTTGTATGTTTGTTTGTTTGTTTGAACGCGCTAATCTCAGGAACTACTAATCAGATTTGAAAAATTATTTTTGCATTAGTCATGCTACTACCCAAAAAAAGCGGAGCAGTAATCAAAAATGCCAACAAATCGGGCAGACTTCCATACTTTATTGTAAAAATGATGTTTATAATATTATGTTGCTCAGAAACTTTGGTCAAATACTTATCGTGTAGATTGTAGAGGGTAGGTATATGAAACAGGTATAAATGTATGTTTAATCAAAAACCTCCTCTCATCGATCGTGTCTAGTTATCGTCCCAGTAGAGAATGAATGCACATATTTGTCCTGTATAGTATTCCCTAGCTACTTACAGTGAGATTAGCCGCCGTGGCTAGAAATAATCAGGCAGATATTATTAGATACAAATAAATTGATGAAAATAGAAAAAAACCGATGAAACCGGGACATTAATAAGTTGTTGTGAGTAATTATTTAGTAAAGCTACAACCGCCAATACAATTCATTACATATCTTGATTAATATGTATTAAGTATTTGAGTTTATTGCACCTATCCGTTTCGTTGCTTTTCACCGTATCTCATCCTCATATTTGTATATTAGCTTGCTTCCCAATACAAACTTTCATCCCCATTTTCACCACCTTAAGGGATCATTCCCGGGATAAAAAGTATCCTATGTCCTTCCCAGGATCTCAAACTATCTTCTTAGCGAATTTCATTTTAATCGGTTCAGTAGACCCAGAGACTACCCCCCAAAACGTCACAAACTTTACCACTTTATAATATTAGTATAGATAAAATAATATCGTCATCATCATTGTTTTACGTTGCAACCTCTTCCTCTTTAGAAGGTGATTAAAAATATAATTTGTTTTATATTTTCATCACCTCCACTCAAACAAACATGATGTCTCTATCGTTTAACCGTGACGTGATACGAAAATTAATTTTTAAGAACTCGTTAAGGAAGATGCTTCATTAAAGAAATCGCTTGAATTTAATTATGCATAGCCATATACATATGTATGGGCAGATTATTACATAATATTATAGACAATATTATTCAATAGCAATTTAATATAATTAAAAGATTATACAACCCTTAAATATTGCGACAGTTTGAAGTTTGAATCTTAAAATATCTGACAATTTCCAGTCTAATATGCACAGTGAGGGTTCCGTAGCATGAAACATTAAATTTTTTTTTTTAAACTAGTAAATTTTTACGTTAAAAGTAAAATAAAATATTTGTTCATCTACGATCTTATAGATTTCACAAATAAGTCTGTATTACACATGCCACACACTAAATTAGTAACAAATAATATATTAATTAATAATATAATTATTAATTAATATATATAATTTTTTAATTAATCTTAACTTTTTCAAATTACACATAGATCAATTGTGGCTTAAATAATTAATACTATATTTTATATTTTTCTTATGGTTATAAATATAATAATGGCAACACTAAATATAGATTGCTAATTAATATTTTTAAAATTGTAATAATTATAAAAATAATAGCAAAAATTAAATAAATAATTTTCCATATTCAATTATAATTAAAATTATAAAAATATTTAAAGTTAAAATATTGTAATGTAATTGGTGCAATTTTCATTTTGTTAATTGTGGGTAGGCTGTCTGTAACAACTATATCTTTAAGACATGTAACACCTCAGTCTCTCCCGTGACCATGGATGCTGTAAAGCATTCGAAACGTCGGGAAACAAAAATACAAATAAATCCGCGACAAAATCCGAAAAGATAGTTTTATTTAAATTAGTAACAAAGTTAATTTTGCCGCAAGCAAAATATCCCATATTTTAAAAACTATTTACCGTACCTTCTTTGACTTATAAAAAAATGTCACACCTCAGTTACACGTATACTCCACACACCTCCCATATTTTTCGATTCTTTGTAATTTGACTACAAAATTGCCTAGCGATTTGCATTAGTAGTAACAAATTAGCTTCAAGTCTTCGAGTAAAATTGCTGTGACGAACGGACACACAGTGGACAGATGGACAAAACGAAATTATAATGTTTAGTCATTTCTGTACGGAACCCTGAAAATAAAAGAACTAATTTTGAAATTTGAAAGTAAGTAATTAAGAAAACCATTCAAATCAACGATATATGCAAATCTATACAAATATAGTAGTATTATGTGATCTGTGCTAATATGATAAATGTGAAGTAACTCTGTCCATCTCTATATTGCTTTTTCGCACCGAAACCCTGAACAGATTTCGATGAAATTTGGCAAGGGCATAGATTGAACACGGGCATAGGTTACCACGGAAACATTAATTATTATTAACAATTCGATATAGACTTATCTTTTATTACCATCCCGCTTACAACTACTAGGGGGATCGATCAAAAAAGTATTGTATGATTGATGAATATGGGGTAAATATGGATAAAAAACTAGTAAGGTGTCAAAGTTAATTGAATTAATTTTGTTTTTTTTTTATAATATATTTTGATAATAGTAACAAATATTATTAAATTTCGTTTTACTCGATTATATCAAAAGATTTAAGCTTTTTTTATTTTATAATAAAATTTTACACGCGGATGAAGCTGTAGGCAGTAGTATTATTAATTGATATTAAAGACAATGACCAATCTCCGTGACATCATTCATTTTAATTATCTCTTAAGAAAAAGTGTGAAAAACACAATTATCGTTGGCACTTGGCAATGTAACCATATTCCCCATCTGGTGCAGTGCGGTACATTAGGTAGAATATTAGCCTTATCCCCTCTTTTTAGCCTTAACGCTTAAAAACTATGTATAATATTACAAAATGTAGAGATAAAAACTTAAATATGTGTAATAAAGGTTTAATTTGTTCTTGCGTGAACCGGCGAAGAACTCGATGAGTGATTACCGTAAACGTAAATGTAACAAAAAAGTACAAATATCTAGCATAACTTATCATTTTAAAACTGTGCCTTAAAAGATTTGCCGCTTAAAATCCAAATTCTAATACTAAATATACGGCACATTTCGTTTTTAATTATGATATAAATAAAATATACTAAATTATAAATAAAATTTAAACTGGCAACCGATTCATGTATCAAAATGTCAAAACCACAGTTTGACAGTGATGGTTTTCAAATAGTACCATTAAAAAAATCCACAAAAAAGAAATCAACCTTAGTGCCTCGAAAGGAGGCAAATTTTCAAAAACAAGAATTAAAAATAGACATTGAAAAATCGTACAAGTGAGATGAAATTTTCATGGTAAAATTTTAAGGTTATGTTGAAAAATGTTGCTGGGTTTCTAATCTACCTATTTATTTTTAGACGTATACAAGCTGCCCAAGAAGATCTGCAGCCTTCTGAATATTTGAAAGACGTAATTAAAGCCGTGAGTAGTCATTTGAAAAATAAAAAAATCACAGAAGTAGTTTGTTTTGGACTTGGTCATATAGCAGAGTGTCAGATATCAAAATATCAGCTAGCATTATTATTATGTTTGAAAGATCAATTTAAACCTAATAAAGTTTTAGTACATGACCCTGTATTTTATACAGACGAATGTAAAATCCTTAAAAGATTTGATTTTGATATTCTTGAACAGAATACTGAAGGAAATTATATAATATCTAGTGAAGATCCTACTTTAGTTTATTTACCACACTGTCCAAAACAACTGACTAACAATTTTCTTTGGAGTAATTGGAGTTTAAATTTACAAAATAGCATTTTATTGTGTAACAGTTTCACTTCTCTGATAGAAAATCATCCTAGCAGGATACTAAAAGACACAGTGCCCTATGTATATAGAATTTATCCTTATATCACTGAAGTGAAATTAGAAAACAACTTTATTTTCAAGGATATTTTTAATGATACATCATTGCATTACTTTTTAAGTGATAAACTTGAAACTGTATCATCAGATTTTTGGTTAAAAGAAAGTAAGCCAGTATATGAAAATAGTGAAGAGTTTATAACATCGTTAATGATTGAAAAATTGATTATTTGACTCTAAATAATACTTGTTAACTAAATAAATTTCTTTGAAGGTATCAAAATGGCTTCAATAACTTCAAAACCAGCCCTCGTGACTTTAAGGCAAGTGCTTTCGGAGTTACGAAAGCAGAGTTCAAATAACAAGTTAACGGAAAACCAAATGGCGAGATATGTTCTGAGTCAATACAGAAAGTACCAAGTAACGGATCAACAGTTGTGTAAAGCAGCTGATGAAATGCACTTTAAAGCTAAAACATATGCTGATTATCTTCACTTTACAAGGAAATATAAGGAAATTAACGCTGAATTTAAAGGGCAAGGTGAACGGAGTATGCAAGAAACTGCAAGAATGGTTGGATTTAAATTACCACATGACCCAAAATAAAACTAAATTTTTACCTATTTTATTTAATATGTATAACTTAGTTTGGAAGCTGTTTATAGATGAAATACAAGTGAGGTATATCCACTATTCAGCTTGTATAAATTTTAGTTCATTAGTTTATTATAGATAATAAAGCAACATTGAAAATGGAGTAAATTGTTTTTATTTAAATATCATACCATAATAAATAATTATGCTTGTTCTTTATTAAATTTTATATGATATTCTTAAATATGTATATTTTGTGTAAGAATCTCTTTTAAAATAAAACAAAATGGATGGTTTTATTATTATTGTTTATTGGGTGTGGTGCCGAGGTCGGCCCTAGCTACGTCAACCAGTTATGGCCATTGTAGCTCCCTTTAGAATGAATTTAAAATGGATGGTTGGCAAACAGGAAATAAAAGTAGCATTTTTTGTAAGAATTTAATATATAAAATTGTATATAAATTCATTTTTTGTATATCAATAAGTAAAATCATAAACATTTATACAAAGAAATGTATTCAATATTTTATTTACAGTATTGTGTCATAATTTTATTACAAATTAAAGTTCACAATGAAAGATTGTTGAAATAAAGCAAAAGGAAACTAATAGAAAAGAAGAAGTCAAGTATAAAAAAATACTTTTATATATACATATATTTTTAATTTCATTTTAAATGGAGTCTATATATTTTTACTCTGTATTAAATGCATTCAATGTTGCCATTATAACATTTATTGGGAGTATTCTTTTTCAATGAGCTTTGCGATGGTTTGCAATTGCATATTACTGGTTCCTTCATAAATGGTACCAATTTTAGCGTCTCTGAAGAATTTTTCTTGCGGGAAATCTCTAGTGAAGCCAACGCCACCCATGAAGTCTATACATTTTGATGTTAGAGTTTGGGCTATTTCTGTAATAGGAAAGTCATATACATTTTAACTTGGATTTTAAATATTTTTTAACATAGAATATAATTTAACATATACAACAACAAAAGATAGTTTGACTTAAAATGAATTAATTATGTTTTAATTTTTCTTTTTAAAGAACATATTATACCTTTTCTTCTTTAATGCTTAAAGCAGCATGGAATGTAAAAAATATTAGTAAAGTAAATTCTTAAAAAAAAAAACTATATAGACTTTGTCTTTGTTTGTGTCTTCAAAGATGTTACATTTAAAGCATTCAATAGCCTATTTATTTAGAAAAATTATTATTTATTATATGTAATATGTTTCAGAGATGATTCAGAGAAATGGTAAAAACCGTTAAATTATAAATAATAATTTTACTAGTGAAATAAGTGAAAAGTCCAAGTTTGTCAATCGTCTCTTTTTCTTTTCTTACAATATCACGCGACAATATCTATTGAAAAACTTCAATAAAATCTCATCAAATGCGACAAAAGCCACATGGAAACCAATAAATATTTTTTGTTTTCTATGTAGCTTTTGATGAGATCCTATTTGAGTTATTAAATAGGGATTTTAGGTATATTATAATTTCACAGTTTTTACAATTTATCTGCGACATATAGGTATAAAATAAAACGACATATTTTTTATAAGGATAACGAGTAGCACTGCAACTAAAAAGCAAAACCATAGAGAAGTTTAATGATTCATTGAATTTTTCACTTCTCTCCTGGTCGTGGTCTATGTATGTACTAAAACTCCACATTCCACCCATTTCAGATAAAGATAAAGAGGTAAATCAAATAAAATTTATTCAAACAGATTTTTACAAGCACTTTTGAATCGTCAAGTTTACATTTTAAATTTAACTTTAATGTCAGTATAGTCAGTCCGTGAGGAATCTACCAAACATACAAAGTTTCAGATTTTTATAATATTATGCCGACCAGAAATGCGACAAATTAAATAAATAATAAAACATATTCACCTGAAGCAAAGTATTTAGCCATAGCAGCTTCTTTAACAAACTCGATGCCATTCTCCTTGAGTCGTGCCGCGTTATAAGTGAGAAGGCGCGCGGCTTCTAACTGCGTTTGTAGGTGCGCTATTTGGTAGCTTATACCCTGAGAATTGGTATTATAAATTATAGAATTTATATTATATGATACATTTTTACGGTTAATATAGATTTCTCAGAAATGAGATATTTTCCCGCAATAAAAAGTATCCTATATGTTGACCCGGATAACTAGCTATTATCAAATTTCATCAAAATCCCTCCAGTGGTTTTCCGGTCACAGACAGACAGACAAAAATACTAAAAACTATAAATTCGGCCTCTGTATTGATAATAATGACTTTTTCAATAAGATTTTCCAAAAAATATTTATTGTGCAGGTTCGGCTTAGTTACAATTTTATTATGTAATATGCCTTTTTTAATTATTTGAGATAGAATACATTACACAGAAAGTGAAAAGTAATAAAATTAATTACTGAATAATATGTTATGTATATTTACGTTAAATGAAATGTAAAATAACTTTTAAACTTGGTCAGAATATTGTAAAAAAATAAACCTTATAATTATCCTACTCCTGATACTCTATATTCATCTCATTCTCTTGTAGGTTACTTATCTGAAGTGTCACTTCTACCGTGTGTGAATTGTACACACACACACTTTTGTAGGGTTCCGTACCCAAAACGGGACCCTATTACTATATATGAGATTTTAACTGCCTCGGTGGTGTAGTGGCTAGCATGTACGGCTGCACACCCGGAGGTCCTGGGTTCGAGTCCCGGGTCGGGCCAAGTTTAGTTATTGAGTCTTCCTGTATAGTAAGTCTCAGTAACAGCCCGGAGTTGGGAAGTTGGCGGTGTTTCACCCCCGTGCCTCGGAGAGCACGTAAAGCCGTCGGTCCTGCGCCTTAACTCTCACCGGTCGTGTCGAGTGGTCGTCCCACCGGAGTATGAGAGTGATAGGAATAGAGAGTGCACGTTGTGTCTGCGCGTACACTTGAGCACTGTAATATCTCCTGCGCAGTTGGCTAATCTCATTGAGATTGGCCGCCGTGGCCGGAATCGGCTAGGAGAACATCATCATCATCATCATCATCATATGAGATTTCATGAGATATGCTATATCTCATGTAAAATTTTCACAGATGAAGTACTTTTGTTGCCGCTATAACAACAAATACAAAAAAACAGAATAACAAATATTTAAAAGGGGCTTCCATGGTATGATATGGTATGGTATACTCGGGCTTGTTTCCGCAACTCGATGTCTGCGCGCCTATTTTGCGTGTGTTAGGGGCTCCCATACAACAAACTTATTTTTTTTTGTTTAGCTTGTTTTTGCTCGATATTATAGATAATGGTACGGAACCCTTCGTGCGCGAGTCCGACTCGCACTTGTTTATAGATCCTTTTTTAAATTACACTAATTACCTGATAAGCGTATATCTTGTTGCCGAACTGCTTCCTTTCCAACGTGTAAGGAATGGTGGCGTCCATGCAGCCCTGGCAGAGCCCTACCATCTGCGCCGCGATGCCGATACGACCCTCGTTTAGGAAACCTGCTGCATATTTGTACCTGGGAAGAGACTTTACAAATTATAATCTATATTCCATACTAGTGCCTCACCCTCGCTACTTTCAGGTTCGTCCCTAGCCTAATTCTCCATACAAACTTTCATCCCCATTTTCACCCCATTGAAGGACGATTTCCGGGGAAAATGTCCTGGATATCATGGATGCCCTTTCCAGGATCTCAAACTATCTTCTTACCAAATTTCATCTAAATCGGTTCAGTAGATTCAGAGATTACCCCTCTACAGCGTCACAAACTCACAAATTTTACCTCTGCTCTTTATAATATTAGTATAGACAAATGAATACTGTCTGTTGTGATGTTATATAATAATTGCTTTTTACTACATGTATTTGAAATTATGTACGGTACTTATAAGAAAAAAAAAACAATTTTTCAAATTTTTGTTTATCTGTTTGTTCCGGCTAATCTGTTTAGTTAGATAAATTTCGTTCTAAATATCAAGAAACAAAAATGTTTGGATTTCTATTAATTCTCAATTTTACAAAACACAGACATAATAAATGTACAACTGAAACTTGAAAAAAAGGCTGAAAAATAAATTCCATTAGAGAAGAGATATTACTTACCCTTTCCCATACTCTCCCAATATATTTCCCTCGGGTACCCGCACATTGTCGAAGTGCACCATGCAGGTGCCGGACGCGCGAATGCCAAGTTTGTTCTCAGGCTTGGCAACACTGAGCCCGGGGGTTTCCCGCTCCACTATGAAACACGTTATACCTTTGTAGCCCTATGGGATAAACATTTAAAATATTTTGGAAATAAGTCAGACGATATTAGGTATGTGATTCACTATATCCGTAAATTTTAACATAACTATTTAGCCCTTCTAATGTGCCATTGTTGGACAAAGGCCTTCCATCAATGTGCTTAACGAAAATAGTTATAAAACGGAGAATAAAATAAAAATGCGTCCAATTTCAAAAACGTAAACTACAATAATACGGATTTTAAGCGTTAAGGAATAAAAAGATTGGGAATAGATTAGTTATAAAAATTCAAAGAAATCTGCCGAGGCAGGTACTTAGTACTAGCTTACTTAGGGTTGTGGTAAATATTTGTACTAACATTGAACGTAATTTAGTTACACTTTATGGAATTAAAAATTGTAATGAGGTTTTTTATTTGTTACTTTGTTTTTCTATTTTTATTCCCAAAATCTATAATGGTATTGTACCAAAATTTCATTATTACATTTTTAAATTTGTCAAATTATCATTACTTTCTATAAAATATTAATAATTTGACCGTGACAAACCGACATACAGATAAGACTCAAAGAGTAATTTTAAAAGAAAATTATTTTAATCTATACATATAATAAAAGTGTAACCGATCGCTGTCTGTACATGGAAGACATTTGAGAACAACTAATATTGGGGGTCTTTATTGACGAACCCAAAATAATGGTTTTTAGAGTTTTTGACCGTGCAGAGGTGAAATGGAAAATTTCAAATATTCGCGTAAATCTAAGAAAATATTAATGCTTTTACAATTGTCACCCAACCATAGCTCACAGACGTATAATGAATGACAATGATGCAAAAAACCTCGTTTCGTAGTACCTAAGTACCTACCTACATTAAAACATTAATTATATAATTATGTTCTACCGGACATTGCGTCTCTGTATATTATTATGAACGCAAATGTGACATGACCAATGTTGAGTATAAATCAATGTTACCGTTAAAGTGCGTAAATCTATAAATATCTAGATTATCTAGTTAATTTCTATATTGACTGGTGGATCCGTTAAAGTTCGTATTTTTCCGTTATTATAGGTAAAAGCATTGATTTAAATAAGTTCTTTTGAATAAATAAAATATTGGAATTCTTTGATCATGATTTTTTTTTGGACATTAACACACAGCGCCATCTAGTTCCATGATAAGCTTCGTAGCTTATGCAAGTAGCAAGCCTCGTGGCTTGTGTTATGGATACCAAATAGTTGATACACTACACATATATAACTTTAAATACATACATATTATAAATATAAACACCCATGACTGGAGTACAAACATTCGTCATCACACAAATGAATGCCCCCAGCGGGACTCGAACCCGCGACCGCTGGCACAGCAAGTAGGGTCACTACAAACTGAGCCAAACGTGTCGTTTTTGTGTGATTTAATGAAGGACCTGGTGTATAAGTAAAAAGTGCACTGTTCAATGGTTAATTATACAACATTTCGTTTTGACGAGTCTTTCAAATATATCTGCTCAATAGGATGATTATTTTTTATTTTAATATTATTTAGTAGATTATATGCCGTTATTAGTCACTGAACGTTTCGATTATAAAGTTTGACCAAGTGAAGTCACCTTTTATTTTGAATTGTTTACATTAAATTGTAAAACAATAAAAATAAATGATTATTGTCGATTATCTTATTAATATTGTAAATGCGAAATCACGTTTCGTTCACGTTGCAACGGAATACTCGTAAGTAATACATAATTCTTCCGCTTATTATAAAACAAAATCTAACCTGTCAAAAGTTCTAAAAAGCTCATAAAATTGTTGTTTCGTTACATAAACATCCATTTTAACCAAATTGTAAAAAAACCAACACAATTTTTCTATAAGTATCTACAGGTGACGTAATATAATTCAGTACTACTTACAATTTAACAGTTTGAATGATTAATAAATGATTTAATTGTAATTATTGCATCAGAGCGTTATCACGTATGAAATGTTTAGGTCAGTAAGACGATAATTAATAGTTTTTGATTTGCCTTCAATAATAATGTGATATTCTACACATCACATACCTTAACAATAACCTCAAAGTAAACGTTTATAGCTGTTTTAGCTATATATTTTTCTAACTCTGGTCCGAACTGATTTGAAAAAACAACTTGGGTTTTAGAACTCTGATTTTTCATTTGTAACTTATTTTAAGCACAATTTCCATCTTTCGTCGCAAGGAAATATGGTGACAAAACTTACAAATTAAGAAAACCTAAAGAGTCATCAAAAGACATGCTCAGTCCGCACGCACTTGGCCAGCGTGGTGGACTATGGCCTGATCCCCCTTGTATGGAAGGGACGCCCACGCCCAGCAGTGGGACTTTAAAAAAGCTGGTCGGAATTATATATAAAGCTAATTGTTTCTTATATTTACATAGATAGAATGAATAAGTTAGACCTAATAACAATTTTGTTATGATTTTTAACTGCACTTATTTTGTTGCAGCTCTTACAAGATATAGTGCCAAAAAAGAAAATATTGGCCCTAAGAGAACCTGATGCAATCATAAAGACAAACATTTTTTATGATTCTCTGGGGTTCGGCACCGCGTATATAACCAACCATATAATATGAGGTGTATTGGTGCAAGAAGTTATTTTTACATTATAAGTTCATTTATAGTTTAACTTTTAATTTAATTCATATTTTTGTAACGAATTTATAGCTTTTATTCTGATATATTGAATATGAATTTTAAAGATATGATTATTCAAATATAGCTATATCAATATGAGATGTTTTTGTAAAAGCTCCGTGACGTAAATGATAAAGATATTGACAAACTAAATTTTATGAAATAATACAAATATTTGTTTTATTACATACGAGAACAAATATTAATGATAATGTGAGTTTAGTCACATATTTTTGTATATTCCATACGAATTATACGTATATATTTGCATTATTTTTATGTAATTCTAATAAAAAGATCGAAATGGATTGTTTTAAAGACTAAACGTGATTGTGTATTGATACATCACTATACCAATTTAATTAGTAAATATCTAAGAATAGTTTTATCTATGAAATTCTACGATTGGGGTTAGAATCGATAGAAATGAAAGTGGAATAGAAACCTAAATATAGAATAAGTTACAAAACTATATCATAGAATAGGAAAGCAGTAGATAAGTAGATATTCTCACCTTTGAAGGATCAGCATTAGCCATCACAAGGAAAACTCCGGCGACATCAGAATTAGAGATCCACATTTTAGAACCATTTATGATATAGTCCTTTCCATCCTTTTTAGCTACAGTTTTGAGGGCGAATGCATCTGAACCTGACGTTGGTTCTGTTAGACAGAAGCTGCCGGCCTAGAATTTTTAAGTCACACTATTATTATTAATGCGAATGATTGTATGTGTGTTTGTGTATGTGTATGTTTGTTATTCCTTATAGCTGGACATATTAGGATGAAAAAAGAGTAAGAAATAGAGTGACTGTTAGATCTAAAATTTTGTTAGGCCGTAATACTAGTATTATTGTGTATTGATTAGATTTCATTGAAACTTAAGTTAGCTATGATTAATTAAGGCATATGAGTGATATAACTAAAAAATATCTATTTTTTAACAATTTTTAATAAAAAACACTTGAATTTATTAATTATACTACATTATATGAATTAACAAAGACCAAAACACAACATCAATACTTACATATTTCGTACATAGTTTGGTCAAATACTTTTTCTTTTGCTCTTCAGTACCTAGTTTCATGAATAACGAATTTACTAAGGTATTATGAATGTCTACATATGCAGCGACAGCCGGGTCTACCCGCGAGAGCTCTTCGATAACCACCATCATTGTGAGGAACCCGCACCCTGACCCACTATATTCCGTTGGAGTTTCTATACCCATTAACTGTTGAAAAATAATTTACTTAGACCAGTGCTTTATCTATTTATGTCAAAAATAAATGCAATTTTTTACTTATTAATTGTTATAATACGTTGGGAATTATTAATAATTACCGGTTCTTTTGTAAAATGTATCTTTATGTAGTAAATAATGAAATAAATTTAAGTTTTGACCTAGCTAGTATCACAAACTAACGGATAGTGCATGAGAATTTATTACATATCGAAATATTTATTTTCTTTCTATTATTTTATTATTTTTAGAGCATTTAAATAATTGTTTATTATATATTCTAGTGAAGTAGAAAATTCATGCAGCAACAGTTCTTTTATTATAAGTACACATACATTTTCGCTTTGATTTGTGGTAAATTATTTAAAAAATAAAATACACAAAATATGTAAAACATTAATGTTTTCATAATATCGCGTCTGTTATAGTTACTCATTTATCACTTTATGTAAGTGTTGTGGTTATTTTGAATAATTCTGGTAATTATTAAAATTAACCAAATTTATAATTTTAACGATAACACATATAACGCCGATGTAATTCGGGCAAGTTGCGAAGCAAAAATACATTTCTCATTGTGATTAATATAAAGCAATAACAAAAAATATCATTATCTTATGAATAATTTTAATTTATCAACTAAATATATATACATAATACATATGTATGTACATACATAATATAAAAAAAATAGCATAATAATTCATTTGTCACCATTTGTAAAAAAAAGTTTAAATGCACAAAATAAATTGTAATAATTAATTTAAATAACAATAAATAATATGTAACATAATTTAAAAAAAATACTTACGCCATTATCGAATAACATCTGTCGGATGCCTTCATCAATTTTGTGTTCTTCGTCCATTTTCTTTACAAGAGGTGCTATTTGTTCGTTTGCTAGTTTTCTAACTGGAAAAGGAAAGATTTAAAAATATATATCAAATGTACTTTAATATTAATATTAATCAAATATACGAAAACTAAAGAGTTTTACGTTACTAAGTTATATCTCTTTCTTATTGTTATGAAACTTAAGTTGATGTTTACTAATTTTTTTTTTCTTTTGTGATTTTTTTTGCTTCCTCATTTGAAAGTAAAAGATTCGTTATGGATCCAGTATTTTTTCACTGCGATTTATTTCACTTATAAGCTATCTTAAATAATTAAAAATACTTATAAGCTGGAGAGATCGTTTTTTAGGCTACATTGACCGCGATAATCTCAGGAACATTTATGTAGAAAAAATCTTTTGCTTTGGTGTCTATTCGTTGGAAGGATGTCTAACAAAATCTGCGAGTTTTAGAAGCAGTACATAAATAAATTAGGCAAACAGCACCGCGAGTAAAACCTAGTCAAGTATATTTTTCCTTGCCAACATCGAAATAAACTTTGATCTTAGATAAAGATTAAACTTTCATTCAAAATATACTACGTGATATTTTCAATTTAGAGAGATACATAAAAAACACATTACACTATCATAACAGATAACTAAGTACTCGTATATATCAAATACTTTTATTTGTTCAAGTTTGTTCTACTTATCATTTATTATTTTATATATCAAAATAAACATCAAGGCGGCTTATTACTCAGGCTTCAGGCAAATACCTACTTAAAGATAAAGATGAAAATGAGTAAGATTGTAATTGGTATACTGAAAAACCTCAAAATATTTATAAAAGCTCCGAGAACGAGTAAGATATAAAAATATGTATAGGTATCTCTATTATTCCATACAAAATTATATAAAACTTACTAAGTCAACTAAATTTAGCCTAGATTTAGTTGACTTAGTAAGATTTTTCTTAATTAAAATTAAAATATAAACAGTTAGTTATATTTTCATTTTCTATTATGCCATATAATAATAATCAGGAGGACTCCTGACCGTATTCGGCCACAGCGGCCAATTTCAATGAAACTAGCCATAATGATGATGATGATGATAAATAATCTAAGCCTCTATCAAAGTCCGATGGCCGATGCGACGATACTTCAACACGACCGGTGAGAGTTATGCTATACAAACATACATACAGCGTGTCACGAAACACTCTTCATAAATTCTTCGTATTATAGTTGTTTTAGTAAGCGAATGTGTGTTTTTATTTTTCTTCACGCTGTAATAGCTTAACTGATCTGAGTGAAATTTGAAATAGCAGGTATATTTATATCTCATCGCCTTAGTGCTTAATTGTTCAATCGACCAATACTTTTTGTGCTCTACAGTAGAGATTTGTCTTCTATTTTAAAAAAAAGTTTTTTTTAAGGATTTTATATGTACATACGAGTATATAGATAAAATATATTTTAGTGGCTCTATTAAAGTAAAATATGTATTTAATACCAGAAGAACTGATATGTAAAAGTCAAAAATTCTGTATTGTACAATAATACGCTTTCAGTAAACTGGTAGTTTGAACAAATAAGCACTGAGACGACAACCAAGGTTAGGTCATTTTTATCGATGTAAGTACCTACTATTACCTACCGATCAGAGCCATAACGTAATATGTAACTTAATAACCGTTAATCAGCATCTACATTATATAACTATATAATAATAATATATAATACACATTATATATAAAAAAGCTAAAGGTTGTATGTTTGTAACTAGAGCGCAATCTATGAAACTATTTATCCAGTTCTAAAAATTCTCCCACTAAAAAAAACTACATTACTTAATTCCGATGGAAATGTGTTAAAGTTGTCAGAAATCATAATAATTTTAATTGGCTGTTGAGTTACTTTATCGGCCATTATGAAGACAGCTAGGGACGAACTCGAGAGAAGTTAGGATTAGTCGCTAGTTTAGTATGAACTTATTAATTTAGCAAAAAAACTATGTAGAATATATTATTTAATACACGACGAGCCTTCGGTTGCGTAATAAATAATAATACTTTGATAACGAGTTATATGCCATTTACGTATATAACATTGAGTTATTATTATGTAAAGTAGATAAGACTGAAAATAAGATAAGCATTTAAACAAAACATATAAATCATAGGGTCGACAATTTTGGATCATAGTTTATATGTATAAAAGGTTTTTTTCCATTGGTGGAAAATCTATGAAACTTATCTTGCATTTGCATTTGCGTTATTCCCCATACAAACTTTTATGTCCATAATACTTTCTTAGATTTACGCGAATATTTGACAATGTCCATTTTCACCCCCTTAAGATATGATTTCCGGGATAAAAACTATTTTACTCACTATATCATGAGATTTAAAAAAATCTTATTTTAGTAAAAAAAAAATTTTTCTTTTAATTTTCTTCTATACAAAACTTGTCCTGACAATAATAAAGACACAAGAAAAAGAATTATCCAATTTGGTGCAGTCGATCGGATGTTATGCGTGTACATACATTTCGGTGATTAATTTTTTTATTTATATAGATAGAATAGATAGATAGACGCATAAGATGGCGAATTTCTGTAAGACGAAATAAAAGTTTAGTCGCCAAATTTGCCGCCCCTAACATCTGCCGCCGTAGGCCCCAGCCTACTGAGCCTGCTGGTAAATCCACCACTAAATTCATCATACTTCATCAAAATCTCTTCAGTGGTTTTCTTGTGATGCCAGACAGACAGAGAGACAGATAGACAGATAAAAATACTAAAAACTATAGATTCGGCCTCTGTATCGATAATAATGACTATTTCAATAAGAATTTTATTATATGTATAGAATACAGATAATTTGATAAATGTTAAATTACAAAAAATAATTCGAACTTTGAAATTTATATACACTCGTATTAATATTTTATTGAATTGGCAAAATTTAACTATAGATAATTCAATAAAATTAAAATAATTGACATCGTTAAAATGGTGAATGGAATCCATTTATATTTATAAATTACATAAGTTAAACAATAAACATTACTTCGTATATCTTAGTTTGTAAGTTTTTATACGATTAAGATGGAAGAAGAGGATAAAAGTTATTTGAAAATTTTAATACTATTAAGCTAGAAGAAGCTTGCACTCTTGGGTATATAAACTATCATTATGTAAGAAACAAATTTCAAAATTCAGTTCGTAAGATCAAAAATTTGAAAAAATGAATATTCGTGAGCCTGTAACTTTATTGTTATTGATGATATGAAAAAGTTGACAACGATTTTTTAAAGGATTTTAAAAGTACTACAAATTTGCTATTTAACATTTTTCTGTAACTCTTACAGTTTAGCTAAAAAATGCAAAAAACCATAAATTTCAACTTTAAAGCTATATAACAAATAAAATATTGAAGATATAAATTCGACTCAATGGAACTTTTTGTAGTAAATTTAATACTAAAAAAAGGTCCATTCATTCATTTTTTTGAAAAATATTTTCGTGACAGTTTGCAGGACAAAAAAGTGTTAAAAATCATATTTTCCATACAATTTGTATGGGAAAAAGTTAAAGTTCGATGGAGAACCTCTTAGAATTGGAAGTTTGAGCTCTGATTTTAACAGGAGCTTTCTTGGGACATTTTCTGAGATATTTTGAGGTGAGAGCGAAGAAAAAAAAAATATCGTCATTTTTTGCCAAAAAACATATACATACATAATATGTATTTACGTAGTAGTAAGTACCTACTACTTGTAGAGAGTATGACACCTTTCATTTAACAATAATCGCATTGTATTATAATCTATACTATAATAAAACAGTAGAGGTCGAATGTCTGTACATAGCAAAAAAATGCTTAAAACCGTGACAGGGGGATGTAAGAAGACAAATAGAACAAATCCAGATTTTCTTCAATTTTTTTGTTTCTCTGTCTATTTGTCTGTTTGTACGGGCTAATCTCCGAATCTATTGGACCGATTTAAATGAAATTTTGTATGGTGGTTACCTTATATCCCCGGGCAACATCTTAGATACTATTTATCCCGGAAAATTAAAGAGTTTCCGTGGGATAATTAAAAAACCTATAGTAACTTATATAACTTAATACACAACAACTTATGCACCTAATTTAGAAAAATATGGCATGCTGATACCTTATATTGCCGGTCTAAGAATAAGTTACTTTTCATCCCGGAAAAATGAACGAATGAAATGATCTGTTTGTAATTTTCTAGAGGAGAACCCGAGCGAAGCGAGGGTGAGCCGCTAGTGTATAATAATGCCTTTCTATTTTTGACGTCACCTTCTTTAAATAACGCGTGTATATTTGCTAGCTATAATGAAATCCGAAACATTGGTTAAGGTCATCAACTGACATATTAGAATAACTGTAAACACTTGAAAACTGTGCAAATAACGATAAAAAACTACTTTGCACTGATAATGAAAATAAGCCAAAGTCGAACTGCTATTCCTCTTCGAAGTTTTATAAAAACAGGTTAGATATGGATTGTGTACACTATACAGTGTAAGTACACTCTGAACCAACAATTTTATTTTATTTTGATGTCACTAGTTTACTAGTTTTGATGACACTAGGTTACATGTACCACTCAGCAACAGCTATTATTGTGAAACAAACGAATTCTTATATTCATTAGCAACTGTTTCTCTGTTTATTTTAGAGATTATATTTAGGTACATAATTTATAGTTATCTTATTATTTATATCTATACAATATACATATAATAAAATTGTGACTAAGCCAATTAAATATTTTTTTGGAAAATTTTATTGAAATAGATAATATTATTATCGATACAGAGGCCGAATCTATAGGTTATTAGAATTTTTGTCTGTCTGTGACCGCATCACGGTAAAACCACTGTAGGGATTTTGAATAAATTTGGTATGATGGTAACTGGTTATCCGGGTCAATATATACTTTTTACTACGGGAAAATGTCTCATATCTGAAAAATCTATACTAAACGTTAAAACGTAACGTTGGGACGAACCCAAGCGGAGCCAGCGTGAGTTGCTGGTCGACAATAAAATTTGTCGCTCTACATTTACTACTTTATCTCTATTCTCTGTATTCAGCCCTTTTTAACGTCCCACTGCTGGGCACGGGCCTCCCATCAATACGAGGGGGATAAGGTCATAGTCCACCACGCTGGCCAAGTGCGGGTTGGCGGACTTCACATGTCTTTCGAAAACTTGTTAGATTCTCTCAGACATGCAGGTTTCCTCACGATGTTTTCGTTCACCGTAAGGCAAGTGGTAATCATGTAAGATGATTCGCACATGAAAACATCAGAGGTGCGAGACCCTGGATTTGACCCGCTTCACTCGGTTTCTCAAGCGAGCGCGTTTCCACTGGGCTACCACTGCCTTTATTCTTTACTACTAATTTATATAATAATATAAGATACTTATTGCTTTTTAACCGATTTCCAAAAAGAAAGATGCTTTATATTTCTCCGGTATTTTAATAGAATTAATTTACAATTGCTATTGGCGAAATATAAATAGTATTAGCTCCTGTTTCTTTTTTTCTAATATTAGATGGCAGTGGAATGTAATATTCGCAAAATAACTCGCGCCTATTGTGTGATTTAAGAAAACACCATTAATAATTTTTAAGGCTTTAATTCTTTACTTGCAACTGTTACTTATTATATATTATTTAAGTTTAAGTGGTATGCCTAAGTCTAACCTACTCTCTTTTTCATTCTTATTGGTTCCCACCATCGCATGACAAATGTCTTAGCGCCTCCGAGCACAGATTAAATATAACTCCAATATAGCACATCTTCCTTTTACAAACAAATAAAATCTTATGATACTTATCCTTTATAAATCAAATATAGCACACATATATAACAATTTGAGGCAACTTTTTATTCTGATTTCTAAGAGACCTAGACCGGTTTAGACTAAGACACTACACGAGTCCTACGGCCTAAGAGTTGTCTTGGGACAGCCAGTGACGCTTGAACAGAAATTCTTATATGAATTATATTATAAAGACTAGCATTGCCCGCGGCTCCGCCCGCGTCCAGATAACCAAAAACCAAATTCTTAGGTTTTACATATTAGTTTCTGCAATGTTACTCTTACATTGCAGTTTTTGTATTTTTTCTCAGAAATAAAATATTTTTCCGCGGTAAGAAGTATCCTACATGTTACCGGATAACCAGCTATCATCATACGAAATTTCATCAAAATCCCTTGAGTAGTTTTTTTGTGATGCGGTAACAGACAGACATACAGACAAAGATTCTAAAAACTATAGATTCGGCCTGTATATCGATAATAATGTTTATTTCAATAAGATTTTCCAAAAAATATTTAATGTACAGATTCGGCTTAGTCACAATTTTATTATATGTATAGATAACAATAATAAGATAACTATAAATTATGTACCTAAATATAATCTCTAAAATAAACAGAGAAACAGTTGCTAATGAATATAAGAATTCGTTTGTTTCACAAAAATAGCTGTTGCTAATTGGTACATGTAACTAAAATCACATAAGAATTTTGATTAATTTTAAAATAACCAAAGTATAAATTCCGATTTCATAATATGATAAACTAATATATATATATAATAGCTTAGAAGCCGCTATAATCACTGACTATTACATTATCTTCTGTGCCATTAGTTAAATATAGGTAAATATATGTTGGAATACATCTAGTTTCATGGTAAGCTACGAGGCTTGTGTTATAGATACCTGTTATTGATACATTACACATATAGGTATAACGTTAAATACATACATATTATAAATATAAACATCCATAACTGAAATACAAACATCGTGCTCATCACACAAATCCATCCCAGTGGGACTCGAACCCGCGACCGCTGGCACAGCAAGTATAGCACTACAAAATGAGCCAAACGTGTCGTCATGGTTGAAATAGGAAAATAATGACCGGCGTGCAAATTGTATCAGTAACAATCGTTCATGAAGATAAAGAATTTACAAATTGATAAAATTGACTTACTTGTGTCCTTCATAGCCAATTCATCCTCTGTCAATACAGATAATGGTCGAGGTGCCTCTGAGCTGAAATTCTTCGCCTTCGAAACTACTGCAATTGGTGCACGCCATTGTTCGATAATCTGTAACACGGACGTCCCAAATTCTTTATAAATGACACTTAAAATAGCGCGAATAATTTTTATTTTTTAATTTAACACCACTGACCAGGTAACACACCTTACAGCCAACGCGACGTAAAGGAAACATATTTTTTTTATTTTCTGTCCACGTAGGTACGTACTACAAGCACGAGCCGAAGCGGAATTCAAACTGGTTGAATTAGTATTTCTTGCTGGTTTGCATTTATTTATCTCACTCGCACTGAGATAACGTGTTTCAATTCACAAATGTATAAAATTGTGCCAATTAAGTACGTATTCATTTCGCTAAATCGCTATGTTATTATTACGTAAATGTCTTATTCTTATTGTAGGTCTATTTACGAATAATTCCAATTGGATTGTCTAGTCTTAAAATAGTAAACTGTAAAGTATAGTGTCGTCGACGTTTATATTATAGGTATAAATGTGAGACAAGAATTGTATTTAAAATTGAATAATTTTATTAAATACGCAGAGAAAAATTATTTACATAAGTAAAGGCATTTTTAAGTTAACATAATTGTTATTAAGTGAAATTGAGATTAGCCATCATATTGGATATATTATAGTAGGTATACATTGTACTAGATGCGCGCAAACCTAAGTCCACTCTCTATTCCTATCACTCTCATACTCTATTCCTTTCACTCTCATACTCTATGGGAGTTGGGACAATAATTCGACACGACCGGTAAGAGATCAAGCGCAGGACCGACGGCTTTACTTTGCTCTCTGAGGAATGGAGAAGAACCACCGCCAGCTTCCCAACTGCGGCTTGTTACTGAGAATTTCTTGACAGAAAACTAAACCTGGTCCTACCCGGGAGTCAAACCCTAGATCTCCAAATCAGCAGCCGTTGCTAACCACCGAGGTGGTTATTATATGTATAGGTACATTGCCTACTCTTGAATAGTCGATAACCCAATAATCTAACAAAAAACCTTAATCCTCTATAATAGGCTCTAAAATGTAAAAAGAATTAAATCTGTCTGATTGTTTCGGATATTAAAGCCATCACATAAAAAAGTTTCTTTTGCTATAAAATATTAGTACCATATTATATTTCAACTTATATAATATTATGTTATTAAATTGTCGATTAAACGTAAATGATTGGTGCATTTTATATTTATATCTTCATTTTTATAGTATCACATAATATATCACGTCTGAACGGTATGTAGGAAATCATTATTTTAATTGAAAACCTAGGTGACGATTTTAAGACAAACCGAACCGCCTACACTGCTTGAGCCTTGAGGTAACACTGGTCAGTGACAGTTAGAATACAGTTATCGATATCGATAAACAATGGAAGTTAATCATTTCGACAATAGATAAATTCTATTTTTTTTTAATTTTGATTATATAATTTTATAGTCCAATAAAATTAACCCTTTAAATATTTTGTTTTCAAAATAATTCCAAAATAATAAGAGATAAACAAAATATTTCAAATAAAATCAGTAAAACAAATATGTATTTAACATATGAATCTAATAAAATCATATGTTATTATGATAAAATTATATTTAAAAGACTTTTTGTCTAATGTAAAGCAAAGTAAATCTTTTTCGATAGGTACATTACTCCTTACTTACATTCGATACAGTACATACGTACTGTTAGGAAACCTACCCCGTTTGTGTTTAAAAAAAAAATGAGACTACGATATAAACCTAAAAGGATACCTCACACAATTGTCCAGAATTTTGACTTCCGAGCTCTACTAGTCCTTAACGCGTCTCGGAATCGATGTCCGAGCTACCTGGGGTTCTGAGTCTATCTAATTATATTTAAAAATAAAATGAATATATAAAGACAATGCAATTTCCGATTGGGTTAATATAAAAGAAAAATAATGTGGATTGAGGTCAATGCTTAAAATGAATATTACAGAGAACAATTCAATTGCTGACTAGGTTAATATAATGTGGGTTAAATAAATGCTTACTAGGTTTTAACCGCGTTGTAAAAAAAAGATATAACAGTACGTAATGTAGTCATCACAAATGAATGTATAATAATTTATAAAAAAACATATTAAGTACATTTTTTTACATTTTGTTTCTTGATTATCTACAAGGGTAAATCTCGCGACATGAAGCTTTTATCTATACTTATTATAAAAATAAGTCCCCCGGCCGCGTCTTTCTGTCCTCCTGTCTGTCCTCCTGTCTGTCTGTACGCGATAAACTCGAAAACTACTGAACGGATTTTTATACGGTTTTCAACAATAGAAAGAGTAATTCTTGAGAAAGGTTTAGGTATATAAATCATATAAATTGTGTAATCATGTAATGTAATAAATTGTTCGGTTTGATTTAATTTAAAGTTTATTTTCTTTCTTTTAAAGCGTTAAATAAAAGCTTGTTAAAAAAATGTTTTTTACACTTATTTGTTTTATTTTTTTATTTTTTAAGTATTCGTGTTATTCTTAGCAAACTCTTTCATTTGATATCCGTATCATAGGGTTTATTCCACTATCCACCTTTCGCTCGCCATCAGATCAGCTTGAAGATATCATAAATTAGAATACTATCATCAGAAATACAAATACTTGCAAATTTTCAAGTCGATATGCCAATAAGAATTAATTTATTAAGGTAAAAAAAACTGAAAATGGTTTTTCTGAACTAAAATTTCATGGTTTTTCCGGATTTGCTCAAAAACTAAATACTCTACGGCTACGTCATAGAAAATTTTATTTATTTTAATTTCCTTTAGAGAATATAGTTAGCAAAGTCGGTTGAGCCGTCTCCGAGAAACCGGTGAACATACATAAAGAAAGATACGTACAGAGGAAATAGAATATCCTCTTTTTTGAAAGGCAGTTAAAAATGGCGATATTAAAGAATGCTTACTACATTATTATTTTCCTTTGGTACTCAAATATTAAAAAAAAATAGATTATACCTGTTAGAGGACTAGATATTTTTTTCTTTTATTAATTTTTCATAAGGAGCAATAACAAATCGATACATATATTGCCATCTGTCAACATTTACTTGAACTATTACTTGATTTATTTCTTTGCTTCCAAATTCTATGGTCTAAAAATTGATTACATATCTTGATGTAATTAGTTTCAGTATAATTTTTATTTTATAAATGACTGTTACTGCATTAGCCAATTAATGATAACATACAAAATATTAAGTCGATATTAATTAATATATTTTTGCAAAATTGTGTCTCATTCCATAATACGCGAAACGGAACGTGATTATGACATCCGGATATGTATGGTTAGGTTGGTATGTAAGTTTCTAGAAACATACAGAAAATACAAAGATGTTGCCACATAAGTAATTCCCCCCTTAATGAGTGGATTTGTTATTTTGTATATTGTAAAAAAAAATGAATTGTACATTCAATGTACTTAGTACAAGGTAAATTTCTTATATCATACAATCTTATATTTAAGAAATCGATAAATTTAAACTTATCATTTGGGATAGTTAAGCTTAGAAGCTTTACTAAAGGACTTTTTAAATGCTATTTAATATTATATTTTAGAAACATTGAATTTTTGCTTTTTATTTTGTGCACTGTCGTTTTGAGTATAAAAATGAAAGTGGTAATTTAAAGTACTTTAATAGCAACATTATTAATGTCATTCAAATTGGCACAGCCCATTGACATAAACCTCAACTCACGACGTTTCTCGAATATTGCAGTATTGAAAAACAGTGACGGAAGAAAAAGAAAAGTTCTGTGAATATCTTTACGATTTTTATGAATATAAGTGTGTTATTCCGATAAGTGCATTTTTGTGAGTTGATTATATAGAAGACATATTTGTGTTTTAAATTTTGAACCTTGAGTAAGTACCTATTAGATTTTATAAACGCTGATAATCGCAAACCTCGTGTTAACGTTTTGCGCTAAAGATGGCCAAATGGGGAGAAGGGGACCCGCGATGGATCGTCGAAGAACGTCCTGATGCAACAAATGTTAATAACTGGCATTGGACCGAGAAAAATGCCGGGCCATGGTCAAAGGATCGGTTGAAGGAATTATTGAATAATTTAAAAATCGCCCAAAATGGAATAGATTGTAAGGTTACTGAAGTGGAAAAAATAGATGGTGAAGCCACGGCTAATAATAGGAAAGGAAAATTAATATTCTTCTATGAATGGGACATTAAATTGAAATGGGAGGGATTATTGGCTGGTGGTAAAGACAAGGTTAAGGGAGAAGTGCACATCCCTAATTTATCTGAAGAAAATGATGTCAGTGAAGTAGATGTAAGTAGGAACTAGTCAATATTTGTTTTTTTTAGATTATACAAAGTTACAGTTACATCAAATTTTAAATTTAAATCAGAATAATATTTATTTTTAAATATTATATTTCAAATGCTTTCTAAAGTATAAGTAGTCGGTAAATCCTATCTCGCTATTTATTTTCAATGTCACAAATCAAAATTGGAGTTAAGCCAATGACATACATCATTATAATTAGTACCTGTAGTATATGGTACTTGTTTCCCTTTGCTACTGATTACCTACATTAAATTATATGTTAAAAAAAAATGAAAAAATATGGAAAATACATATATAGACTATGTAGTTTTGTGGGTCCTAAATCTATAAGTATAAAATGTGTATCTTAAATAATTTGAAAATAATTTCAGATAACTGTCACCATCAAAGGCACTGGAGATGAAGCCCAGCGAGTTAAAGCCTTCATGCATAATGTGGGTAAGGATGAAATCCGCAAACAACTAAATGAATACATCAGAAGTTTAAAGGAAGAATTCTCAAAAGGATTAATTTTACCCAAGAAGGGTGAGGCCCCTGTGAAACCTGACAATGTTTCCACTATCACAAGTGGTTTCAACAAGAAAATAAACATGGAGCCTGTAATCTCCAAACAAAATAAGCAAATTGGATGTAAATTAGAGACAAAAACAATTGAATTGTCTGAAAGTTTTCAATGCAGAGCCCATGAATTTTATGATGCCATGACAAGAATAGAGATGGTTACTGCCTTCACTCAAGGACATGTTAAAATGGAAGCTGAAAAAGGTGGAAAATTCTCCTTGTTCGGTGGAAATGTGAGTGGTGAATTTAGAGAATTAGTACCTGGGAAAAAGATAGTTCAATATTGGAGATATAAACAATGGCCTGAACAGCACTTTTCTGAAGTCACTTTTAATATTGAGGAACAGGTGTGTATCACTCTATAAATAGTCTTCTATATTTTAGTTTATTATCTTTTAAATGATCTTAAGTGGTAAAAGGATAAAGTTTCCCACATTCTATAATGAAAATTCTTAATTAAAAAAAATCACCATGTTTTTGGGAAAATTAACAGTTTTACCAAAAACATATCAAATTTTGTTTTCATCACCTACTACCTAACTGTGATCATAAAACTTCTAGAAGTTTTTGAGTGAAACTAGCTTAAATTGTTCTCACATGCCCTAGACTTTAAAGAGAGTTCACTTCATTTTGCCTTCTAGGGTTCTTACAATTAACATAACTTTATTCTTGCTTGTTTACAAGTGATTAGTCACTGATAAAAAGATTTTCATAGCCCATGACACCTTAGAAGCTATAAAGTATCTATTTTCAACTTTTCAGTTGGTTGTTAGAGTTTCCTTTGAATTACTACAAATAGAACATATTTATATGATTTTATTTTAGAAAATATAACCACTTTTTTACCCAATGTTTGTCTTTATAATATAGGCTCTCGTTTGTCTTTATATTATACGCGACTCACCATTGCTTCGCTCTGGTTCCTTCTTAGCTTGATTTCCAATACAAACTCATCCCCATTTTCACCCCCTTAAGGTATGACTTCTGGGATAAAAAGTATCCTAAGTCCTTTCCGGGGTCTCAAACTGTCTTCTTACCAAATTTCGTCTAAATCGGTTCTGTAGATCCAGACATTACCCCGTACAAACTCACAAACTTTACCTCTTTATAATATTAGTATAGATAAAGTAAAGAATTTTAGTTAAGTATAAAGAATCATGGTGCTTATGTTTTGCTTTCAATGTAACCTTTAATAACAGTGCCAGAAAGAAATTTTGAACTAAGTTAATGAACAATTTTGACATCATCAAAATGATTTAACATATTTTAATATACACCACGAATTTTCAACTTTAGTATTCATGTATTTGTGGTTATTACAATTAGTTAAGTTATAACAAATTAAAAATATTTAATTATAAAATATATAATAGGATGTGGTTTGAAGAAGATAAAATATTATTATGAAAAAGAAATTTGAATTGTAAAGCACATTGTCAGCCATACTAATATTATAAATGTGAAAGTTTGTGAGGATGAATGGATAGATGTTTGTTACTCTTGCACACCAGAACGGCTGAACAGATCTGGATGAGGTACAGAGATAGATTATAGTCCAGAATAGAAAAGAAAAATGTATGGTTCCCGTGGGATAGATTTCTTGTTGTCCAGGGAACAACCCGAAGTAAAGTTAGTGCAAGTCACTAGTCTAGTAGTATAATTTAAAGTCATAAGAACATTTTTTAAGTATTAATGTGATTGTTACAGAACATGCATACATAGATAAACTATGTATTTAAATTTTGACTTAAAAAGACTTTAGTACACAATTGGTCTGTATGTTTTGATATATGTATATATGTTAACTGCTTCGGTGGTGTGGTGGCTAGCAAGTACTGCTGAATATCCGGAGGTCCTGGGTTCTAGTCCCGGCTCGGGTCAAGTTTAGTTATTCTTGAGTCTTTCTGTATATTAAGCCTCAGTAAAAGCCCAGAGTTGGGAAGTTGGCGGTGTTTTACCCTCGTGCCTCGGAGAGCACGTAAAGCCGTCGGTCCTGCGCCTTAACTCTCACTGGTCGTGTCGAGTGGTCGTCCCTCCGGAGTATGAGAGTGACAGGAATATATCTCCTGCGCAGTTGGCTAGTCTCAATGAGATTGGCCGCCGTGGCCGGAATCGGTCAGGAGAACATCATCACTTTATATCATTTCCAATTTTGAATGATTTATATATATATATATTTTTATATATTATGGGTAACAAAGAACTTAGTAATTTTAAAGTTAGTGCACTGTTTTTGATGAAATCTAATTATGAAATTTCAGGAGGACCACACTCTAGTTACGCTCAAACAAGATTTGGTCCCAGCGACTGAAGTAGAACAAACCCGTGACAATTGGAAACGTTATTATTTTGACAGCATCAAGCGTGCATTTGGCTTCGGTGCTTTCCTGTGATTATGGTCTCGCTTATAAATTAGGTAAGTTTCATATTTTAAAGTATTATAATGTTAATTGAAATATGCTTTTGGTTTTAAATGTTAAAATGTTTGATTTTAAACATATTATATCACATTTTAAAGACCATTTAGGGCCGCTCCATACTATAGTGCCGATCATGGTTCCCTCTCGGCCCGATATCGGTGTGGTAAAGTATTGTTATACAAGAAGCAATAAGTGAATACACACTATCAGTAAGACTCACGTTTCGGTCGAATCACACTCCAACAACGTTTCTTGTATAGAAATACTTTACCTGACCGATATCCTGACTGTGATCGGACCTTAATTTGATAATAATTCTACCAGGGTTTGGAACCGGTTTAAAAACAACGGTTTATTTTGGTAACGTGATGTTTAATTCATCGCTCGTTCTTTTACCGGTTAATTATGAACAGATAGTTTAGTAAATCGAAATAATTATAATGGTATTGGATTTTGGTTTAGATATCGAAATAAACCAGTTAATTCATTCATAAGTAAGAAACGAACATTTATCCGTTAGACAATTTTCGCCAAATGTAAACCCACAAAAACTCATTTTAGCTGGTTAATTTTGATCATGAAACCTAAATTCGGTAAAAATAGTTCTTCGGGATTTACCCAGTTAAAGAACGTAATCGAAACCTTAAACCTAAAAGCCAAATCGGCCCTGCCGTTTTGAAGATTATCGGGCACCAACAGACAGAAAAAAATTAGAAATTGTTGTTTTCTTATAAGTACGGTATATACTTTCATATGCCATTCAGTAAAAAAAAAGCCTTTACGGGCAGTCGAAGTAAAAATTCTTTGGCAAATATCGCAATTAAATTAAACCAAATCAATATTAATTAAATAAAGCATATTAGGCATATTACAATCATATATTTATAGTATCATATAATATAATATTAATATTAGAATATAATAATAATATTTCTTTCGCCAGTTCTTCTCAAGTCTGAGGCTTCTTCTTTCCGAACTGGTAGTAGACTCGTGACTCGTTCAGTAAAAAATTGTAATAATTTAATGCTGAATAAAATATTTTGAATTTTTGAATTATATATTTGTCAGACGATAACAACGGTTACCATGGCAACATGGAAATGTATTCTATCTCATTCTCACACCGTCTTAACCCTATATTGTATTTATGTTTTTGACTATTTTTGTTTTTTTTCGTTTCATCGAGTTTCAAATCACAACGATTCTTTAGAACTTCTTTAGAAGTTTCATTTCAAAAATTCTAAAAATTGTTGTTTTCTTATAAGTACTGTATATAGTCACACGCAAAATAAACGCATAGTCGTCGAGTTGCGGAAAATAGCCCGAACATACCATACCATACCAAGTACTGTATATAATGTCTTATGCATTCAGTAAAAAGCTGTTATTTTGACAAACAGACACTTCGTTGTTCTTTAATACAGTTTTTACATTTTATTTCAGATTCAAATGTATCACATAACACTGAAGATTATCTCAGGTATTCTATGAAGTTACACATCTGTGATGTCCGAACCCATTTCCAATAGATTTGCTTGAGTTTAGTTAATGCTTGAGCACTTTTGGTCATGCTTAGCTCTATGTAAACAGTTTAATTTATGGTTTTCCAATAAATTATGTTAGGGATGCATTGTGTGTTTTATTTATTAACCAACTTTAGAAAAAGTAGGTTCTGCTGTAGACTTTAGATATTTTATTAATATACTCATGAAAAATCAAATCTTATTTTAACTGCCACGGAGGTCTAGTGGCGACCATACACGGTTGGACATCCATAAGTTGTGGATTCCAGTCCCGGGTCAAATTTAGTTATTGAGTTATTTTGTTAAGGAATTCTCAGTAGCAAGCAATATCCGGGAAGTTGGCAGTCCTTCTGAGTTTCTTTCGCCAGTTCTTCTTAGGTCCTGAGGCTTATTTCCAAACTGGTGTAAGATTCATGACGTTTAGTAAAAAAATGTATAATTTAGACAATAGTTGTTAAAATTTTTGTCTGCTTGTATTTGTGCAGTTTACGCCAGAAATAGTGAACGGATTTTAAATTAATTTCCTTTTACTACAGAAAATCTATCATTCCTAAGAGAAAATATAATTCATAGTTTGGTTGAGCTGTTCATACAAAAATGTCAATCATTTATTACACAAAAAATATTAGTAGCAGGGTTAAATATTTACTTTTAACAATTAAGTGCGGTAATCATTTAAATGGGAAACTACAAAATTTAGTTTGAGCGTAAATCGCTCTTCTACTCTATACATATTACATACTATAAAACCATGGGGTCTCATCATGAACTAAGAAAAAATAGTTCAAATAAATGTCTATAGATGACGTTACATGTATCGATTTGTTATTAAAGTTGTGTTTTCAAAAAATGGTATTATTGTTTTAAAAAATCTAAGTGAAAGGAAACGAAATAATGCGCCCGTAAATTAAATTTGTGTAATTTTACTAATTATTGAAATATCAACAATCAGTTACAATCAATATACACTACAAACCCATCATGGGTTTGTAGTGTATATTCACAGATGGCGCTTTTACTTTTTATGAATTGTTTAACACGGTTAGATTGTTAAAATTACCGAAATTGATTTATTCAAATACAACATGAATTTTACTATATTTACCATACATTAGTTTGCACAGATTTATAACATAAAACAGTTTAATTATTTGCGAATCAACGCCATCTATTATCAATTCAAGCAAACAAAAATAACCCGAGGAATAGCCCGAATTAGCGCTGTCTTATTTCTTTGTATGTAGCGATATTTGCTAGTGATTAAATAATACGAGCAAGGCACAGGGTAATAACTAATAAGTATGAATAGCACATTTTATGGATGGTATTAGGATTTTCGAGCTCTCTATCTAACTTAGAAGATATAGACTTAGAAAATCTTAATATAAGTGTTTTTTTATTGTTCCAATTTAAAACATGGGATAGTTTTTATCCTGAATAATTCCTTTTTTTATTGCAAAATTAACGATTTTCATATCCGGAGAGGGATTCCGGAGTGAACCTGAGAAATGGCTAGTTAGCACTCTGTGTGTAATTTGGTTCAATGTAAAAAATAGGATACTTTTATCGTAATTAATAAACTTTATATTTTTTTATTGTAATTTTTTTTGGGACGAAGCTAGGTATACGTTGCATCATACATGCTCACGTGTGGGAAAACCATCAAGCCCAAGTCCATTGTGTTAGCAAAATACGGATAAACCAGCAATATTGTGCACCGGTTAGTTAGCGCTTTATAGAGTTAAAATAATAGATTATTATGAATTAAATTAAGTAAAACAATCATTAAACGTTGTTAAAGATCAATTATATTTACTTGATTTATGAAATTAAAAGTTTATAGGTTATCGTTTGAGAACTTCGTAGTTAATAATTTATGATAAATTATTTTCGAATGTGAAATAAATAAAATGTAAAATTAAAAATTCTATGTTGACATCACTCAGATGTAATATAATAATTTAATACATAGTTTATATCTGAGTTGTAAGTCTTAAGCTACTTGCAATTCTGAAACAGAAAGATAGATACCTATAATACTTTATTGTACATCACAAAGAAATATACAAAAGAGGAAATCAACAAATAGATGATTGATAGGAAGCGGCCTTATCGCTCTCGCGATACCTAGTGCCTTTGCTATCTCTTCCAAGTTCCAGGCAACGTAAGAGCGTAGGAGTAATTATATGAATTGGTAGTCGGTGTACTTGCTACTCACAAATACATATGTGAAATACATACCATATTATATATATACATAATACAAACATATATATTATACATGCGGTCGCGGGTTCGAGTTCCGCTGGAGGCCTTCATTGGTGTGATGAGCACGAATGTTTTTACTCCAGTCATAGGTTTATATTTATAATATGTATGTATTTAAAGTTATATAATTGTATAATGTATCAACTATCTGGTATACATAACACAAGCCTCATAGCTTACCATGGAACTAGATGGTGTTGTGTGTTAATGTCCTGACATATTTATTTATGTTTAAACATGCATAAAAATTAAAAAGTATAATATATAAACACAAACGAGATAAACAATATGATTTTCAAAGTAGTTAAATTCATCGAGACTTTTAGCACGCTTTATGTCTGATGTTAGAAAGAAGAAATTATATTATACGTCTACAGGTTAAAGCGCTAACTTTAGCTAACTCTACCGGTAACCATATTTTCGTAGTTACCTTGTTACATACCGTTACCATAATATATTGCATCACATTGCAACAGTCAATAGCTAGTGACATTGCTGTGTAAATGGTTTTTTTTCTGTTTATCAACAAATACTTCCCCTAATTTGCATTATCTAAAGATGAGTCAGTACTCAGTATCACTTGGATGCAAAAATATATTAAATTGAGGGTGATAGCCTCTCATTTGGTAAAATCCACTGATAAAATAACCCGCTTGCAATACTATCGGGTTGCACCATATTATTAAATGAAAAATTATTGCGTCACCTTTCTGGAATCATAAATAAATTCGGTCTCATCCGAATCATTCAGTGTGTAGTTGACCATCGATTAATACGTCCGTTTTCTGCAGCCAATGGATATTCCATAATGTTTAAAAAGTGACAAAGTATTATAATACTTCACAATATAATTTGAATGGGTAAGTTTTATCTTGTGTTTTTGATTTTTAAAATTTAATGTGGTGAATTGGTGTAAGCAAGCTATTTAAAAGTGCACACTGGTACCGCACAGTACCTATTCTAAATCCAAAAAATTAAGAAAGAAATAATATAGAAAAGTTAGTCAACGTAAACCCGGCTTAATGAACAAAAACACTGTCATGCTTTCCCAAACATAATTAAACTTTAAATCATATTTTGTTTCTTAGTTTAGGGTTAGCTACGAAATCAATAATAATTTTAATCACATAAAAATATAGATCAAAATTTCCAAATTCCAACCATTTTGACGATGCTGTCATAAAGTTTAATTTTTTAAATATGATGTTATTGTCTATGGCAAATATGTTAAGAATAATAATATGCTTTTATGTATAAGTTATATTTCATAATAATTATAAATAATATTATTGTAAAGTTAATTATTACAAAATACACTTCAAAGAAAATAAATAAATTACTCATATCTATATTCAGGCTGGCTACTTTTCCGGCCTCAAAGAATACAGCTAAATAGGTACCTAGGTATAATTATTTAGTTGATTCTTCGAGCAATAACAAGCGTCAAGCATGGAGCATTGAGCAACTGTATTTAATTGAATATTTGCAATGCATCTGATCGTGTCCTTCTTAAAGACTTCTCAACGAGAGGGACAGAGACAGAAATACACAATTTGCCCTTTCTTAAGATCGCAATGAAGCCGAGTAATCTATAGAATTACTATACTTATATATTGACTATTATAGTGATGTGCCAAATTTTACCGGTTTATAAATCGGAAATACCGTTTTGTTGTAATATTTATAGTAACTATGAAAAACTATTACACGAAATAATACTTTTTTTTTTTTTTTTATAGAAAAAAGGGGCAAACGAGCAAACGATCCACCTGATGGTAAGTGGCTATCGTCGCTCATGGACATCTGCAACACAAGAGGAGTTGCGAATGCGTTGCCGGCCTTTAAGGGACCTATAGACATTACTCTTGAAGAGCCCCATATTATAGCGCTCAGGGAATACCTCGGGAGGAAGATCATTCCACATCTTGCACGTGCGGGGTAAAAAAGATCGAGACGCACGTACATTTGTAGAATGCCAAGCATCTAAAATGTGTGGATGACATCATCCATGTCAAAAAGTTCATCAGAACACTCTCCATTGTATAGACGATAGAAAACACACAGAGAGCCAACATCTCTCCGAAGGCTTAGAGTGTCTAAATCATCTGTGAGTACGGGATCGTTGATAATACGAGCTGCCCGGCGTTGGATAGAGTCAAATGGAAGAAGCTGGTATTGGGGGGCGCCGGCCCAGAGATGAGAACAGTACTCCATGAGAGGGCGAACCTGTGCTTTATAAAGCAAAAGTCGATGCCCTGACGTGAAATACTGTTTCGCTCTGTTAAGGACACCCATTTTTTTGGAAGCCAATTTGGCTTTTTTTTCCAGATGACATCTAAATTGGACGTCGCTCGATATTTCGACCCCTAGGATCCCGATACTCTTACAGATGTTAAGAGAAGTGTTCTGGAACTTTGGCGCTATAGTGAATGGGGTTTTTTTCGTGGAGAACGCACAAACTTGTGTCTTTGAGGGGTTAAACTGGACGAGATTTCGTCGGCCCCAATCGGAGATCTGCTCTAGGGAAGTCTCGATTTCAGACACAAGTTGGACTCTGTTCTCCTCAACCTTAGCCCGAGAGATGCTAGCTCGGCCAGTATAATAGGCATCGACTGTACTGTCATCTGCATAGCAATGAGCGTTGTTAGTTAACAACATATCGTTGATATGCAGAATAAACAGTGTAGGCGATAGCACTGAGCCTTGGGGTACGCCGGCGTTGATCTGAACAGTGTCGGAGCATATACCGTCAATGACAACTTTTATGCTACGTCCAGAAAGAAAGCTAGCGACCCATTGGCATAATCTCTCGGGAAGTCCATATGATGGCAGCTTTGATAGAAGTGCCTTATGCCAGACCCGATCGAAGGCCTTTGCGATATCAAGGCTAAGTGCTAACGCCTCCCCCTTACTCTCAATAGCAGCTGCCCAACGGTGAGTTAGATACGCTAGAAGATCACCAGTATTACGACCCTGTCGAAATCCGTATTGTCGGTCGTTAATGAGCTGGTTCTCTTCTAGGTATGCTAGGAGCCTAGTATTAATCACGCGCTCCATCACCTTAGAGAGTATAGAGGTTATCGCAATGGGCCGGTAATTGGACGGGTCTGTGCGGTCACCCTTTTTGGGAATAGGGTGAACAATGGCAACCTTCCAAGAAGACGGGACTTGGCTAACGGAGTAGAGTTGAGTGAACAGGCGGGTTAAGACCGGTGTCAACTCTGGGGCACACGTTTTGAGTACAATGGCCGGAATACCATCAGGCCCGCTGGACTTCTTGACGTCTAGGGAGATAAGTGCTCGACGCACTTCACGTTGCGTGAAGCGTACTTCGGGCATCATGCTATCACACTGCGAGATGGTAGGCGGCGATAATCCCCCGTCGTCAAGAGTTGAATTTGAAGCAAAAAAAGAGCACAGGAGATCTGCTTTCTCTTTTGCAGAATGTGCCAGCGTGCTATCCGGTTTGCACAGAGTTGGTATGGATGATCGACAGAAATTTCCTTCCGCAGCTTTGGCGAGAGCCCAAAAAGCACGCGATCCAGATGGAAGGCTTAGAAGTCTCTCGCCAATGCTGCGAATATGATCGTCTCTTGCCCTGGCCATTAGTGTCTTCACCTTATATTCTTCTTTATACTTTTCTTCTTTCTTCTTTATACTTCACCTTAGGTCAAAATTAATTATATTTAATTAATTTAAATTAATTAGATTTTAAGGTAATAACAATTTTTTAAACATTATTTAAATTAATTATTTTGACTAACAGATATTGATTATATTGCAATAATTTTGTTCTTAATTTTGTATTGTAACGTGTAAATTCCGCTTCTTGTCGAAAAATGGCAATAATCACAATGCACATAATTATAAAAACAATTTTTATTACATACTGGCGACTTATCTTGGGAATGACTTCACTGGGTGCGTATATAATTTTTTTTGAGCGGAACCCTAATTCTTTTTCTAAAATAAAAGTAGCCTAAGTTATTCCTTATAACATTAGCTATCAGCCCGTGTAAGTCCTGTCAAAATTAGTAGTCCAGGCGTTTCGGAGATTAGCCCGAACATACAGACAGACAAAATTTTAATAATTGAGTTTTTACTTTTTCTTATAGATACAGTAGGTATATTATTTTATATAGGTACATTTAGTAAAAAGCTGTTATAATTTCTTAGATTTACACAAGATTTGATATTCTAAATAAAACTATTTATGTTTTCGGACTTTTTCGTCGTTTTATTTTGATTTTTGGTTCCCGACGATTCGTTTTTTTTCGTTGCTTAACAGCAGTTATGGTCATGGAAGAGTCTAAGGCTATAGACGTCTCAAAGGTAGTTGTTAAAGACAGCCTATCCATAAAATTACAAAATGAATTCAAAAATACAAAAATAGCACCTAAGTAGCTACAATATTTATTAATTTTAATTTTAAACATTTTTTAATATTTATTTCATTTTAGCTGTTATAATTATTAAATTCTTTCAGAAAACTTTATTAGTAATTTTAGTGTTGCTATTTTATATTTATAAACATAAATCAAATAAAATATTAATTATTCAAGCTATATTATTGTTCTTTATGTAATTTAAAAAAGTTAAATAAATAAGAATAATAATTTTAATTTAGTTTGTTATTATTTAAAATCAAAATTCCTATTGCATGAGCAAGGAAGTCTGCTCAGAGTGGATAAAGTTTTAAAAGAAGTGAACTCCACTAAAACAGAAATTACTGCAGCTGTTAAAAATATTTTAATGAGATCTATTAAAAATTCATCCATTTTTGTATTAAATATGCCATAGCAGTTACGGACTCCTTGATAGCATCTAAGATAAAGTAGAATAAAAGGTTAAAATAGTAAAAAGTGAATAACTTGAACGAATATATTTTCTTGAAGGCGCAATAAAATTGCTTTATATTTTTTCTTATTTAATTAATCAGCACAATAAATATTTTACTTATTCCCCACCCTCTTTTGATCATGGTTATTTTGATTATAGCTTCACAAAAGCTGCCCTTCATCAGGATTAAGAAGATTTTCAGGATTCATGTATCATTGTTTTGATCTTCTTCTCGATTCCTAGATTTCACCATTTTTTTATCACGATTCTAACATATGCTCTTGTTCTAGGAATCCCCTTTCGGCGTCGGTGCCTGTTTATCACAGCGGGCAACAAGTCATCGATAAAAACAAGTTGAAGTGACAGAAACTCTTATCAATAACGTGGAATCAGTTTACAACAAATTGGCACAGCGTCACTTCACTTCGAAAACAAAACGTATTTTCAACGCAAAAATGACTAATTACTTCATTTATGCAAAAGATTTTTCCGGTTCGACGCACTACGATACTCATTACCACAGCAACGGCTTGCAAACCTTAGAACAATTCAAAAAAGACGTAGAAAGAATCAAAACAGAACTATTAGTTGCTGGAGAACCTCCAACAAACTCGAAAATAATTTACTTGCACTGGGGAAAATCCTGTTACGAAGTCGACGAAGACATAACTAGAACAAAATACATTGAAAGGCAAGGTGATGAACCTGCGACAGAGCCAATATCAATTGTCAAATGGATTCAAGAAAATTATAACATCTGCAGTAAAACTAACAAAATCAAGTTACTGTACATCATCACAGATGGTTTAATTGATTACCAGTGTGCAGATGAATGCTTCAAACAGAACGAGAACAAGCATTACGAAATGGTTGTATTCCACGCATTCAATCAAAATTTGGATGCAATCGACCTTTCTGTAGCTGCATCTTTTTTCAAGAGCCGCTGTATGATTTATCGAAATTACGAACTCTTTGATAACATCGATCTTTCCAACGAGTTTGACTACGATAAGATCAACGTTAACAATTTTGCAGCGGAAAAAGATCAATTGAAGTCTTATATCAGATTTAAGTTCATCAATAAAATGAATCACGATGCTCTAGCTTTGCGAGAAATCGATAAATTAAAGAAGTTGCGCAATCGACTGTTCGCCGAGTTGTCACTGAAATCACAAAAGAGTGACCTAGATACAAAGGACAGAAATATATTCCTGTTTAAATTTGCTCGCACGAAGTGGTACAAAAACCTCACTACTGACATCCATAATGAAAAGGTTGACATCGAGAAATGTATTTCGACTCTGATCAATTACATAGTCAGCGAAAAAAAATCCTACTCGTTCGATGAATTGAAGTTTGAAACGAAATTTGACAATCCTATAGAAGAGCAGCCGATTGTTGATGTTAACTTCCCAGCCGAACAAGAAATTCAATTCCCTGATATCATTCTGGATGACGACAAAGGAATCCCTGTTGTTATTCTAACGGAGTTTAGTCTGCTGGACAAAATTATATTCCATAGAACAAGTACGACTGATGTGTCACCTGCCAGTTTTAGCAAATTCAAATCAGCTATGGAGTGTCCGTTGTTTTTGGTAACCGATTCAGGGATCAGTGAGTCAATTGGTTACTTTTACACTTTGAATGCTTACAAACAGATGTTGGTACATAATACAAAAACTGAACCGCGAACACGAAGACCGTTTCACGGCGGCCTTGTGCTGATAGACACAGATCATTTTGATAATTATAACGATTACATTTTGTCTGCGACGTACTTTGATTTCAAAAAGGTTAAGTACAATATTGGGTTGTTTTATTTCGTGCTGTGGAAAAATTGTGAGAACAAAGAATGGATGGATAAGAACGTTGTTGAACAGTTCAAGAAATATGCTATGCGACGTATCAATAAAACTGTGTGCAAAATTGGACTATCGTCTTTGCCACTAGATCCTGACGAAAACACATCGTTGCTAACTGCGTTGTGGTACTGCGTTGAATTGTCTTCATGCATTTTCAAAAATGATATTTATAATTTCATGCACGAACGCTTGAGAATGTTCTACGGCGTAGCGCATTCTATGATCGAAATCTTGAAGTGGTTTAATTATGATTTAGATCTGGAGTCTATTGAAAAGCGTAGGAATCTAATTAGCAATGTGATGATTTTGAAGAAAATTCCAAATCGTACAGAGAAACTTTATTATTTGTTGAAAAAAATTTTTAAGACTGAAGACGGTTTTCTTGTGAGTGAAATTGAAAGGCCGCAAAATCTGTACATACTCAATTTTCTTAAATTAGATCACAAGGGAATGTTGCACGATGATGTGATAGAAGAAAAGGTTCATTTGAATGACTACGTACATTTGATGCATTATGTAGGAGATACGAGCAAATTCAAAGCCGAGGAGGATACGTTTGTAATTTGTGAAAAAACATTCCGTCCCTTTTTTATTGTCGATCAAAACAAGTCATTTTACACCGAATTAGTCAAGATTACAAAGAAAGTAGTTATCAATAATGATGACGACAAAGATAGAATTGAAGTGACCTACAATGCTGTCGATTCACTTGAGTTTAGTAAAATTTTGTCTCTATACAATCTTTTTATTAATTGCGTAAAGGATTCCGAGAAATATCCTAACTTACCTGAGTACATTGATTATATTCTCAAGAGAAAGAAATTTTATTGTGATTTGGTAACAATTTTTCCGTCTAATGTTTATGTTGCCGCTGTAGAAGTGTATGGGCGTTATCAGAGAATGTTGAATAAGGTTCATGTCAATGAATTTATTAAAGTGTGCAAAGCATATGTTAATCGAAGTGAAAGGATTAAAGCCGAAGAAATAATCAAGTTCAGTAATGACAGAGAAATTAACGAATTTATTTCTAGCGAGGAATTGAAAGTTCATTTAAGAAAGAAACCGAAAAAAATGGATCTGCTGTGATCAAATTGGATGAGGTATAAAGTGGATTTGGATATATCTCATTTGATCTGGTTAAATCCAACCATGAATGAAATGAATGAGGTGTGATTATTTAAACTGAACAAAAACGGTTAGATCTGTTCTAATCAAAATGGAAAATAATTTTCGATTTGAAGATACCGAAATGTTTATGAAACGTGGGTAACACAGGGCCTTTGAGTTTATCAGTCCACATATGCACAGACGACGCGCGTTCATGATTTCCTTTGGTATAATTATTTTACTCTTTTATGATACGCGCGTCAATGCGTTTAAACAACGTGGTGTGCATAGGGCCTTAGATGGCTAAGCAATAATGATGCCGCTATTGTTTCGAGCGTTGTTGAGTACGGTTGCGATATTCGAGCTACTGTGCTTGTTTGTTGTATAAGAAAGTCTTTGTAATAATAACAATAGAGGTAAAATAATTGTAATTTTTTTACTATTTTCTGCAATAAACTTTATAAAAAAATGTTTTTTTGTCTTTATTTTTTTTTCACTTTATAATTCTCTTAGTAGTCTTAAAACCTTGTGTATCTTTAAATTAAAAAATTGTTGCTTTATTTTATCTACACCTATACATATATAACTATCCAGCCTGAGGAGTCCGACTGGATAGCTCGCTCTCCAAGCATCAATGACTGCATTGTTCCGGTTTGAAGGATAACGTAGCCAACGCAATTACAGGTAAGGCGCACCTGTGGTTTTGTTATACTCGTATAAAACATTAAGTGCATGACCGTAGGTGTTATGGGTGACAGGTACCGCTTTCCATCGGGTGGGCTTGTCTGCTCGTTTATCATTGCACCATAAAAAATATAATAAAGTAATAATAAAGCTAAATTTGTATTTGAATTATTTTTTAAAAACAACGACTGTTACATTTTGTGTACAAAATATAGACCACAAAATCATAATTGTGGAATTTTTTGTCTGTTTATCTGTATATCTCTGTACATTTCACGCAAAAAAATCTGAAAGGATTTTAACAAAATTTCGTGAGAGTGACAACTCATTCGCTAGGGTCAATATTAGGGATAGCTTTTACTACAGAAAAATCTGTCATTCATACAAATATTTCAGTGATTTATCATACAGAACTATTAGTAGGGTTAAAAATGAACATATTAACAATAAAGTGCGATGAAATCTTTCGTTTTAATGGGAAAATAAATAAATAATTAGGGCAAAAATTAGTCTTCTACGAGTAAAAAATAAAGTTTCTGTCTATCTTCTAAACTACGCAACGGATTTTAATATAGTTTTTACTAATGAAAATAGGGATCAACAAGGAAATACAAAATATTTACAAATTAATACAGACAAAATAGGTCTACTGAGGGGAATCTATGTGATCTATTATTCCATCGTGTTACCATTTCCATGGACTAGGGATATTAAGTCGATGTAGTTTATACTAGTCTTGCTAAAGCCTTTGAAAAAGTTTTCCATCATGTCCATATATGTAAGATTGCAGAAATTAGCAAACACAATGATCTTCTTCGTTGGATCATATCATATCTTCGTGATAGAAGTCAGGCTATGACCATTAAAGGTCATATCTCTGATTTTGGCCAGTCACTTCTGGAGTACCCCAAGGTTCTCATCTTGGTCCCTTTTGTTTAATTTGGGTCCTGATATATCGTATCTTTAGGAATTGTTCATTTCTTTTATATGCACTACAAGATGACTTAAGAGGCTATTATTATTGCTCTAACAATTATTTACCTTATCGTTAGAAAATGTTCTGTCATTTCATTTTCCAGGAAGCGCACGACGACTCTATTCTGGTATACTTTTGGAGGTGAGGCGTTAAAAAGAGTTACGGAAGTCACTATACTTCTTGATAGTAAATTAACGTTCAAGGTCCACTTCAATGAGATGACTGCCAAAGCCTATGAAATGTTAGGTTTTATTCTTAAAGTAGAGATTTTAAAAATTTAAGATTGATGAAGTCCAGCATAAGTTCATCAAGCATTACACTTTTAGAAATAATTCTCTCCAGCAAAGATGTCCTATTATACAGTTTCTATTGAATCGTCGCAGAATAAAAGATATTTTCATCAAAATTACATACTTAACAACCTTATCGACTCTCCATATCTTTTGAGTAATAATATTTATTTTAGATGTCCAAGCTCCCACACTTGTAAAAGAGATCTATTCCATGTACCTTTCACCAGAACAAAATTTGCTTATAATCTGTTCTTACATACTCGTACCTGTACTGTCCTGTCGTGATTATAGTACTCACTTTAACCATATAGATAAAATGAACTGTTCTGTTATAATTTAAAAAAATAAATAATTAATAACATATTTCAATAATTTTCATATTTTTATGTATGTACTTCAAATTGTTTTTATAGTAAATTTATATTTACTTTTTCAATCTTTTTAGTTAATTTAGCTTAATGTTTTCCACTCTAATTACGTGTTTATTATTTGTGGCAATTTAATTGGTAAATGTATGTATTTTTTATTGTAAATTGTATTGTACTCTGTAATACTGTTTGTTCCCATAAAATAACTAAAAATAAATAATTAAAACAAACATCGTGTATACAATTTATAAATATTTTGTACGAAATAGATGAACTATGATGGTGTTCTTTCAAAAAAAAATTTTTTAAACGCGTACATGGCTAACGCTGGCTAAAAATTAAGAGATACGTCAAAACAAAGTACTTGAAAATTGTAGGTATTATTGCTACAGCAAGTATGTATCTTCTAATGTTCACAAACAATAACTTTTTCTATCTATTTAAGACGCACCTAGAATCTAGACACATCCGAACGAAGAGCGAGAGCGAGAATAGAAGAGCGAGAGTAAGTGGCTAGTGACTGCTTAATAAATATACAAGAAAATGGGACACGAAAAAGGTTTAAAAATCAGACTGATTGTCAGCATAGCAGCAGTCAGTAGGTAAATAAATGAAACGTACCTAAAACCAATTTAATTTGTAATTTTTACCAACTGTATGTATCCTGCGGATGTCATGTGAAATGCAAAATAATTTTCATCTTATATGCGGACTAGCGACTCGCTCTCGGTTTGCTCGGGTTCGTCCCTAGCTTGCTTCACAATACATATTTTATGCCTATCTTCACCCCCTTAAAGGATGATTTCCGGGATAAAAAATATTCTATAACCTTCCTAAGGTCTCGAACTATTATTTTACCAAATTTCATCTAAATCGGTTCAGTAGATCCAGAGATTACCTACCTCCTACAACGTCACAAACCCACAAACTTTAACTCTTTATAATATTTATACTATAATAAAACAGTAGAAGTGGAATATCTGTACATAGCAAAAAATGCTAAAAACCGAGTCACTGGGATGTAAGAAGACATATAAAACAAATCCAGATTTTTTTCAATTTTTTTGTTTCTCTGTCTGTTTGTATGTTTGTACGGGCTAATCTCCGAATCTATTGGACCGATTTAAATAAATTTTTGCATGGTGGTACCTTATATCCCCGGGCAACATCTTAGATACTTTTTATCTCGGAAAATTAAATAGTTCCCGTGGGATAGTTAAAAAACTATAATAACTTATACAACTTAAACCTAATTTAGTCAAATTTAACATTCTGATACCTTATATTGCCGGTCAAACAAGAGGTTGCTTTTCATCCGGGAAAAATGAACGGTTCCCGTGGGAACTAATAGATCTCTATTAGTGTTTTTCTAGAGGCAAACCCTAGTGAAGTGAGGGTGAGTTAGTATATATGAGTGAGACCTTACTTCGGATTCTGTACTATAATCATCTACAGATATCAGCTGACCTATGTCAGTTAGGTTTGTACAAATCTTGTTTATCGGCCAGTCGTTATTGTACAGTGATACCGAGGATGCGGTTATTGTGTTATTTTTTAGTTTTACCACTGGTTTGTTTTGTTTTATATAAAAACTTATTTTTAAATCTTATATTCATATAAGTTTTCATATTTTGATTTAAAGCATTCTAAGTGATCATTTTTAAAAACCAAATTATATTTCTCTTTAATTGCAATGAAAGTTTTATTAAAATCAGTTTAATAGTTCTGAATACAAAAACATATACATACAGTTATATAAATATTTGTTGTTATATATATATGTATATATATATTTTTTTTAAATTTACTAAATGTAAAATGTATAGTAAACGCAAAATTGAATTTACATTATTCATATACATATTCATACGCACTGCTCACTATATTACCATGTTATAAATGTGAAAGACTGTTTGTCGGTTTGTTTTTTCACGAAACAAAGGGATTATGGAGGTCGAAGAATTTTGAGGTGGAGATTAGGTGTTGATTCTGGTATATATAGTGGATCCGGTGTTAAATAAGTATATTGCAGAAATCACCAAACATGCCGTGAGTAATAGTTAATGGCAAGGAGTGGAGTGTGTTTTTAACTTTCAAATACATATAAGTATTCACTTTAAAAGTACCTTTAATTCGGTATTAAGGGGAATTTCCTGGAAATTAAGATATAACGAGTAATACACACCAGACTTATACGCAAAAACGCCGCTCAAACTAAATAAAAAATTTTGTTTAATAATCACTTATGAATTATTATATTATCCATGAAATTTTTTTTAGAAAGATTGATTGATATTTAACGTCTTGATCGAACTCTTCCCTTTGAAGACAGGCAACAAAATAATAAGAGTTATTAAGTAAACTTAAACCTAATTATGGCTATTGATTGTTAACAAATGATTTGTTAGGATAATTACGAGGAAATTGCGTAATGTTTTGTTTTTATTGTAATAACTAGGAACCAGATAAGTATTATAATATAATTTTTACATAATTTTTAACCGACTTCAAAAAAGGAGGATATTCTGAATTCGACTGTATATATATATTTTTTTATTTCTAGGTTGTAGCCCAAGTGGTTTTTGGAAATTGGAACTTAGGAGATGATCAACAAGTAAGTATTTAATATTTTTTTTAAATAACAACGGACTTTGGTAATTTCTTTTTCATATGAACATTAAATTTTCTTTTCTATAAAAATTTAAAACGTGACGTTCATAAATGTTTATTAGCAATTTTCACGTTTAGTGTTCAATATTTAAATGGAAAATCATTTAATAATATTAAATGAGCAATTCTTGTATAGATGTGCATATATGTATAAATTTATTTCGTGTATTTCGAAAGCGGCTCCAACGATTTGGATCATTTTTTGTATTTAAATAAGGTTTTGGCTTTTACGTTTATATATATATATAGCCGTTTTTCTAAAAAAAAAACACAATTTTTATATTTTCTTTACGGATGCGATAGTTTGTGTTTGTTCGCGCGCGCCTGTGTGTCTGTGTGTGTGTACATGCATGCGTGCGTACGTGCACGTCATTGTGTTACTTTTTAGTTTTAGTTTGCTTTCTAGTTTGCTTTGTTTTTACATATAAAAACTTATTTTTATAATCTCATATTGATATAAGTTCTCATTATCTCTTAATTTAATTTTAGGTAAGCATTTGTAGCGTTTTTTTTTGTGTGCGTGTTAGCAATTAGATCAAATATAGGTACACCCACTTACATAATATTAAATATTTTGATATAAATATTTTCAACAGTGTCACAAATGGAGTTGTTTAAGCACGAAACTGAACATAAACGCCTTATCTATTACCGAATTAACTAATAAATTGCAAAAACTTCTACCCGATGATTGGAAATCTCTTGTTACTTCAGCAGTCATTCAATGCTATGTCGTACCTAAAGATTTCATGGATACTTGTCCTGGACAAGGCTTTTTACATTGTTTTGTGTCACAACTAAATAAGGTGAGTCAACTGTCAAGTACCATAGAACAAATACCATATAACATAATAATGATAATAAATAATAAATAAATAAATAATATGTAGGTACGAGTATAACGCGTAGCTTTTTATATATATTAACGAGCTCTTATTTGCAAATGTACATTTAATTTTTTTTTCAATTTTGTATGTTTGTCTGTGTATATACTTACATAATATTAAGATGGAAAAAAAACAATCTGTACCTAAAGTTTTGCCAACAACTTTTGCTCGTTGTCGCTTAAGTTAATTATGAATAATTCCTTTCTTTAAGATCCTTACTTTACCTTAGTATTAGGTAGCATATAACCAATAAATGGGCTATAAAATGCAAAATATTTCTTTAAATATGACTAATAGAGAGATATCATGTTCTAATAAACAAGAAAACACACTCTTCAACTTTTTAATCTTAGTATGGGGCATAGGTTAACAAAATAACTCGATAAAACTCAAAGGGTTTGATTAAATGTAGTTATATGGTTGTAAACGTAAGTAGTGTAGTATTGATATCTACATAGTAGATACGCAAAGGCTATAAGCCACCAGTAAAACAAATAAATAATAAATATGTTGTGACATTAACACACAGCACCATCTAGTTCCATATTAAGCTACGAGGCTTGTGTTATGGACACTAGATAGTTGATACACTACAAATAATATATAACTTTAAATAAATACATATTATAAATATAAACACCCATGAATAGAGTACAAACATTCATGCTCATCTCACAAATGAATACCCCCAACGGGACTCGAACCCGTGACAATGGCACAGCAAGTACTACGACAAACTGAACCAAACGTGTCGTAAGTAATCTTCGACAGAACCTTTGGTGAGAGAATTCGTAGAACTGGAAATGAGATATTTTTTTAATAATTTTTTTAACCTCACAGTTGTGGTACTAAAGTATATTTACATCCATATTTAACTGCTATATGATTGTGTTTAAGTGTAGTTGGAGGCTAGCCCAGTGGTAACGCGCTCACTTAGGAAACCGAGTGAAGCGTGTTCAAATCCCGGGTCTCGCACCTCTGATATTTTCATGTGCAGATCATTTCTAACATAATTATTGATTACCGGTTGCCTTACGGTGAACTAAAACTTCGTGAGGAAACCAGCATAACTGAGAGAACTTAGTAAGTTTTTGAAAGACATGCTCAGTCTGCCGGCACTCGGCCAGTGTGGTGAACTATGGCCTGATCCCCCTCGTATTGAAGGGACAGACGTGGGACGTTAAAAAAGGGTTGAATACAACTATAAATTTACCAATAGACAATATGTAAATATTAATTTTATTTATTATTCTATACAGAACTGTCCAGAACATCATTTGAGGGATGACATATTGTGTGGGCCACAAGGACCGAGGACGACTGATTCAGCGAATTCCACCTTCATGTTTAAAGAAGTGTAATTATTATAATCAAAATAAGGCAATCATATAAAATTGCATGCATTTTCTTATTCTAGAATATTTTCCGGGGTAAAAAACCCTTTGCTTATATGTAAACTATTTCTTTTACCCTTCTTTTTTTAAGGATTTATTTACCCTTGGAAAAACAAAATATAAAAAGCACATTTATCATACAAAAACAAAAATTAATTAAAAATAAAAACCGACTTCAAAATAAGCACTAAAAAGTAAAAAATTGCTGGGTAGTTTTCATTTACTATAGATACCTACCCTTAGAGTATACATAAGGTAGTATACTCTAAGTACCTACCTAATCAGATATTTTTGAAGTCGGTGTGCTTTGTTGTATGCTGTTATTTTATTACACACAGATTTTCTACATTTTTTTCAGTCGAATCATGGGCAATGAAAATGTAAAAATAGGATATCGCCCAGTAGTAAGTTAATTTATTTATTATTAACATAAGTATATTAAGTAATTTATTTGCTATACATATAAGTATGTTTACATCTAACATATAAATAACTAGCGACTAATCCTCGCTCCACTCGGGTTCATCCCTAGATACGTTTCAGCGGTTAGTACGGATCTATCATCATAACAAATTTTATCAAAAACTGTCCGTTTTATCGTGATGCGTTCCCAGACAGACAGACAAACATTGTAAAAAACTATATGTCGATTCGGCCTCTGCAAAAATCGTAGCGTTGAGCGTTCTACTTTCTATAGTCAGGGGATAGAGCGAGGTTGTGTATGTTATACATACACAATTGTTTGTATAATGTATTTTAAAGGGGCGTTAGCAGTTTTTTTTAATTTTATTTAAACTTCAATATTTTTCTCAATTTGTTCAAATATCGACATCTAAGTAAACTAAACAAAATATAATAAATACTAGCATTGCCCGTGGCTCCGCCCATGTTCAGATGACCAAAAACCAAATTCTTAGGTTTTACATATTAGTATACTCTTACATTGCAGTTTTTGTATTTTTTCTCAGAAATTTTTCTGCGGTAAAAAGTATTCTATATGTTGACCCGGATAACCAGCTATAACTATACCAAATTTCATCAAAATCCTTCCAGTGGTTTTTCTGTGATGCGGTAACAGACAGACAGACAGAAAGACAAAAAATCTAAAAACTTTAAATTCGGCCCCTGTATTGATAATAATGTCTATTACAATAAGATTTTCCAAAAAATATTTAATATACAGATTCGACTCAGAATTTTATTATATGTATACCTAGATGTACCTATCTACCAATAGGTACATATTCTTAATTTTCGTTTTATTCCGGATAATTTTATTGAAATCTAACGTTTATTATATATTATTGTTCATAGATAGTTATTTTAAAAGAATATAATTCATATCAGCTTTTTTTTTTAGATAGTATCTTTTAAAAGATGCTGTGAACTACCACAGATGTTCAACAACACTATACTTAGTGAATGCGGATTTGAAGGGATGGTCGATTACAAATTGACTCCAATTTCAATACCTCTAATACCTTACTTTATACATACTACAACAAAGGTAATGTACCAATAAATTTAATTTATTTTATTTGATATAATATAATTAAAAACTAGTCTAATGACTACACAGGTAATCATGTGTGTGTTGCGTTGTTTTAACCACGATATAAGCTATCACCGTTCTGATTTTTATTTTAATTAGTGTGATGAAGTTATAAAAATATTTTAAAAGTAAATCCGAAACGGATCTCACAATTTGGATCAAATTTTGTATTTAGATAAAGTTTTGTTTTTTAAGTTTATCTATGATATGGTTGGTTCCCCATATTCCCCATTTCATCCCCATTTTCACCCCTTTAAGGATGATTTGCGGGACAAAAAGTATTCTATGTCCTTCCCAAGATCTCAAACAATCACCTTACCAAATTTCATATAAATCGGTTCAGTAGATAGAGAGATTACCCCCTACAACGTCCAATTTACAATTACAACGTAAAATATTTGTAAATTTTCCGAAAAAACACGATTTTACAAAAGAAAAAAAAACAAAAAAAAACCGTACAGCAAAGCTCGTTTGCCCAAGTACTATTAAATAAAACGGCAATTCTTCCTAACACAGAAAACCTCTACAACGACAAACTTTGGAGATCAGCTAAATGTAGAAGGTGAAGGGATCGATAATGATGATGATGTAAGTATTTTTTTTTATAATAAAAATCTTTAAAATGATTAATGAAATTTTATAGGGACAGGCAAAAATATTGGTCAGTATATAGGTCAATATTTCTTTATCTGAACTGAATTAAGATGAAAATAAGCAACTGTGCATGTATCTTTAGGACGTTTTCTTGATAACGGCTATGTCTTTGAAAGTACGCATGAAATAATACTAAAGAAATACGAAACAATGAAGACATAAGTGGTAAGTCCATTATACTCTTTATGATAATCCTTACTAATATTGTAAATGTTGAAGTCTGTTTGTTTGTTCTTTTTTCACGTAGCCACAGAGTAATTAACGTTATTTTTTAAATAGACATGGTCAAGTACTCGAGGATAGTAAACTTACACAAGTCTATTAGAAGTCAGAGTTTTTAGCAAAAAGTTTATGGAGGAGAGTCATTAATTTTAAATGTATCTAATTGAACTAATCATGGAAGGTCCTTACGAAGATGTTTGTTAATATAGATTTTTATCAATTATATTAAAAAGCCGTTGGTTTGATCGGCCGTACGAACGTTTGATTGTTATGAACACATTTCTTTATACCAAAAAATAAAGGATGATAACGCATAGTACTGATTGCGAAATCGAAAATAAATAATCGATCAATAAAAAAAAGTCGACAGTGTGCGGTAGTGCTATGATTTTCAATCCTAGCCCAAAAAATAAATAAACCGAAAATAACTTTTTTTCGAAACTTTTGCAAAATCTTTTTTTTTTTGCAAATTTTTATTTGCTTATTTATTTTTATTTGCAAATTATTATTTTTTATTATTTTTTAGTATTTGGATCCATTAGAATGTTGTAACCTAGACGAATTCATTCAACCGACATGGAGATCGGAATGTGACTTTAAAGTGAAATGGGATAACAAAAATAGACTAACTATAGTGAATGAGAGTGAACCGGTCACTACCACTACCACCATTGCGCCTTCGCTCAGAAACAAAGATGTCAAAATCGTACCTATTTCGGTAAGCTTTAAGTTTCTTTATTAAAATAAACTTATTATTTTACATTTAAAAAAAAAAACATTTGGTACGTATTATAAATTGATTTAACTTTTTATTTACTTAAAGTTATATTACTATTTATTATATATTTTCTTCAACATCAAAATATTCTAGACACAATAATATATTTCTTAGTTTTACATATCACATTACAAATAGTGTTTTTCATTAGGCTTTTTGTTTCTTTGATGTATTAATAATTAAAAACCTGTACTAAAAAAATAAAAATAAAAAAAGGTACTTTCCCGTACCGGGAATCGAACCCGAGCCTCCTGGGTGAAAGCCAGGTATCCTAGCCACTAGACCATACGGGAGATGATGGTAGAGTCAAAATAGTACAACATATTTTAAACTATAATATGAAGTTGACAATTATAATATGTGTGATAAAAAAACCTTTTTTTTGCATATAATTAACTATATTGATTTCACTTTATACTAACTATATTTATTTGACATCAAGCTAATTTTCAACCGACTTCAAAAAGGAGGAGGTTCTCAATTCGACTGTATGTTTTTTTTTTTTTTTTTTTTTTTTTATGTTTGTTACCTCAGAACTCCGTCATTTATTAACCGATTTGGACAATTTTTGTTTTTGTTTGAAAGGGTATACTTCCAGATTGGTCCCATTTAAATTTAAATTCAAAAAAAAATACCACCCCTAAGGGTGGAAAAACAACTAATGATGAATTTAACCTACTTGTAATTGTCATATTGACTTGAAACTTTGCGAGTATTTCTATTTCCGTTGATAGTACAGTGGTTCGGTGTTGTTGACCTGATCTGATGGCAAGGCCAGAAGGTGGATAGGTGGAACTCTTCAACGGCTAATAGTAGATACTTTGAGTTTGGGCTTATTTTGTTTGATTTGACAAGCCTAACACGTTAGAATCCTTACTTTGCTACTACTGTCTACACTAAAAAGGGAAAAATAAAAACTTTTTTAACAAAAAAATAAAAACCGACTTCAAACAAAAGCACTAAAAAGTAAAAAATAACTGATTGGTAGTTTTCATTTACTATACATACCTAATCAAATATTTTCGAAGTCGGTGTGCTTTGGCTAAGTAATTAAAGCCTACCTATTAAATACATACCTAATCAAATATTTTCGAAATCGGTGCCAGCCCATACAAAGCAAAGCACACCGACTTCGAAAATATTTGATTAGGTATGTATAGTAAATGAAAACTACCAATCAGTTATTTTTTACTTTTTAGTGCTTTTGTTTGAAGTCGGTTTTTATTTTTTTGTTAAAAAGTTTTTATTTATTTGACACATTGCTTGTTATTTTTCAAAAGGCGCTGGCTTTTAGCTCTACATTGTAAGAGAGGTTATTTTTAAGTATTTACTAGGATATATGTACATAGTATATAGATATTATTTATAAATAGATACTTTTTAGCGCAATTGGAAAATCTGTTAACTATTATAACTTAAACTATCATGCATTTAGTCTTAAATTAAAAATAATAGAACTTTTTTACAGTGTGACCAGCAAAATTGTATATTTACTAAACTGAATATAGTATCTGATGGAACAGTTGATAAAGTCGCGTTTGTTAGATTATTGGATAACATGACGAAAAAATATACACAATGGGAGAGGGCTAAAGCGAAAGTGGTGACACAGTGCTTGAATAAACCTCTCATAGGATATGAAGAAGATTGTGAAATAAATAAGATATTGGCTTGTACATTCGATATTCTTACTGAGGTATTTGTTAAATCTCTATATATTTTATTCGACTTAGCTAGTTTATCATCGCGCCAAGTCGCTGGTCTTAGCGGCCTAAAATGTTGGCAATGCTGATAAGTTTTTTTTTCAAGGTTAAACCTTTAAAGGAATAAAATGGAGTGGCAAAGTTTCCATGTAAAATGATAAATAATATTTTTCGGGAGTCATATTTAAAAAATGGCAGCCCCACTCGTAGTAGAAGAAAAAACATAGGTATAAAAATATATTATGCAAACTGATGAACTCTGACATAATGTTTATATGTAGATATATCATTAGCGATAGAGATTGTAGATTGTGGTCTTGTCTTAGTACTCTGAATAATATATATTTGATCATTTGTAAAAGTGTTACGTTTTTTTAAGCATTTCATGTCGATAAATTAGATTTTTATAATTTCAGAACTGTCCCGACACTAACGATAATGACCCATGCAAGTAAGTTCACATTTTTAACAATTTTATTTTTGAAGTTATATTCTTTTGGCATGTTTTGAAAAAATTATAAGAGTAAAATTTTTACGACGCGCGCGCACACCGACAGCCAAAAAGCAACATGATGAAGTTAGCTGAAAGCGATATGATGAAGTTATCTGCATTCCTTTTACAAACAGAGAGTTGTGACATACGGGATGAAATCTTTAGCAATTTTTTTCTGTTACGCCCAAGAGGTATAACATCTTACGTGCGTACATAAGTACACACACACGTTTTATATTTGACTTTTTATTTGGTTTCTAGACATTCTACTTCAGTAGCAGAAGGTTTAATTTGCCAAATAAGTTCATCTATGTACAGACCAGTAAGTGATTTGCAATATTTATTAAAAAAAAATTAATATTGTATATATGTAGTTCAATAAACGTGAAAATATAAATGGAATAAATTTGTACTAACTATTTTTTTCTAAAGTAGCAATTTTCATTTTAATTTATTTATCTATTTAACTGTAACATGAACATTTTCCGGGTTGTTCTATAGAAAAACAACCAATGTTCTAACCAAGATTTCTTTTCTAATTTAGCGGTAACATGCATAATTACAAGTTTAAAAATATATTCATATTTTCAGAGACATCGACGTCAATTCTGTAGTCTACCCGATTTAATAAATAAAGAGATTTGTTCAGAATGTGGAGTCAATTTGATCTATAAATTGGTTTACGTTACCGTTCCACAGGTTAAATCAAGCAAATGGACTCCAGTTACAAATGTAAGTTTATGAATATATTTTGACTATCTTATAACAGTCCGTCTGTCTGTCTCTTCTTTTATTCATTACTAGTTACTGCCCGCAGTTTCACTCTGTTTGTCGATTCTATTAAGCAATTTGATGAATCAGTAGTAGTAGTGTAACAAACGCACTCACAAAACGCTTTTATTATATTATTGTGATGCTGCGGAAATCCTTCATTTTTTCTGGGATAAAGGTATCATATGTTTTTATAGCTTTCTCTTTCGCCTAATATATCTATTCACTTGTTAAAGTCTTATTACTATAATCAAAATAATAATATTATTGTTCCGAATATTTCCTATAAATGTAGTCGATATAGACAGATATAGACATTTTTTCAACGATTCTTTGCGCTTTGGTACCAAACAATAATAATAAAATATATCGTAGCTATTTTGAATTTATATGTATATACAGTTTAATTCTATTTAAAAACTATAGATTTTATTTATTTATTAATCTTTATTGTACACCACAATCATAAAGTAAATACAAGTAAACACAATATCAAAAAAAAAGAAACAGAAACAAAGTGTGCACCAAAGGCGGTCTTATCGCTAATTAGCGATTTCTTCCAGACAACCTTTGGGTTAGGAAATATGGAAGACTATTCAGGGTGGGCGGTGTAAATATTAAATATTATATACAATAAATATTAAATATTATGTTTTAATTATTTCTATTATATTTTTTCAGTGTAAAGACCTAACAGAGCAAACGACATGTCTCTTTCATCGAATGAATGTTTTAAACAAATATGGATTCGTCGATCATTTCAAAATGCACGACAGGATCAAGTCATACACCGAAAATTATCCTCCAAATTTGCAGAGACTGAACGAAGACGCATTAAATTCCGATGTACTTTATCCGCATCACTGTAGTTCCACTAAGAAACTGCTAAGTGTTATCGACACTATGATAATGGTAATTATTCTTAAACTGTAACATACTAGCGACTCACCATAGCTTTGCTCGAGTTAGTCTCTGGTGGAAAAACAAAAAATAAAGGATAAAAAATAACCTATCTGGTATTCCAGAACATATTCATCCAGATCCGTTCAACCGTTCTGGCGTGATTGAGGAACAAACACCCATCCAAACTTTCGCATTTATAAGTAATATTAATGGGATAATGATGAGTGAATAGATTTCCCTATTGGCTGTTTTTGGGAATTAACATCAGAGAGATACTTAAATTATCGCCTATTGGAACTTTAACCTATACTTCTTTAGACATTTGTTGGGTTAAGAAAGATGGTGAATTCAATTAAATATAATCCACAGACTATAAAGTGACCGTATCTGCCACAACTTCTTGCAACTTGCATATAGGAAATAAATATCCTTATAACCAATAGGATCTAAGACTTCCATGTGAGAAAATAGACTTTTCTAGATTTTACCCGACTGCGGCGAAGCCCAAAGGAGGGTTTTTGATCTGTATGTACATATGTATGTATGTCCGATCCTATGTTCCCTCGTAATTACTAAACAGCTTAACCGATTCATACGTTATTCAGGACTCTATGGGGTATATAAATATCATTAAAAATACAAATTGTGTGTCTCGAAAATAATTTTTCGGCCTAATCAATCGAGTGGGATATCAAATACCTATCGAAATCTTCTGCTAAGTTACATGATTTTTTTTTGTAGATGTACTTAATCGGTAGTACCGATTCGGTACTTTAATATCTCAGTCTCAAAAATGTAAAGCTATTTCTTTTTTTTTTGTTTTTAAATATAAATTGTTTTTAGTGATTAAAATTTAAAATTGTGAGTTTTTTTTAACATTTATATAGTATTAACTTACTTTTTTTATTACAGACGTGTATTCCATCACGACAAAACAATAATGAAAAATGTCAACGGCTAATGAACATAATGCAAGTTCCTACAGACACAAGCAGTCATCTACAAATAGATCCAAATATGATTTTACGTACACCATTAAATAAACCTAAAACCTCTGTAAAAGATTCTGTAAAACCTTTACAAAAACAACGAAATAAGCCTTTTGTGTCAGAATATAAGAACAATCCGTTGTATAATTTTGGTATATTAGGTAAAAATTACGAGCCTTCAGTGGAAATAATTGACTTGAAAAAAGAGAAAGAAAGGACGTTAGTATTATTGCCAGTGTATGAACGATTAAAAAAATCTCCAAATTCGATTTAATTATTAATAAAAAGTTGTTTAAAATAATAATACTTGTTTTATTGGTATCCTTTGTAGGTTTTACCTGCGAGTTTATAGTTAACAATACGACACGTTTGGCTCAGTTTGTAGTGACCCTACTTGCCAGCGGTCGCTGGTTCGAATCCCGTTGCGGTATTCATTTGTGTGATGATCACGAATGTTTGTACTTCAGTCATGGGTGTTTATATTTATAATATGTATGTATTTAAAGTTACATATTAGTAAATCAACTATCTTGTATCCATAACGCAAGTCTTGTAACTTACCATGGAATTAGATGTTTCTGTGTGTTAATGTTCTAACATATTTATTATTTATTGTTAAGAAAGATGGCGAGAAAGTTAGAATAATGAAGGGGTCGCTATGTTATATATTGTTACAGGAATATTACAGAAGTAGGTCGCCAAGTATCTATGTACGTATGTATGTATGTTTGTATATATGTATATTTATATTATAATTGATGTTTGTAGTTTGTACCTACACCGCACCGCATTATTATTTTTATATTTTCTCACGCTTGAGGGTTTCTGGTAGAGATCTCTTAAAGAGATAAAGTCATCCTTTGTACACATGGCATCTGTTTTAACTTGTATGTTTTTTTTTCTGGTACATAAATAAATAAAATAAAATTCAATGCAACGGCACACAGTTTTTATTTTGTACAGAGTTAGAGTAAAACCTCAAACGAATGGAATAATGATGACGTATTTAAATGGGTTCCCGCCCTTTCTCCACTCAAGGTGGCAACTTAAGAAAACTCAAATAAGTATTTTATATCAGAATGAAAACTTATAGAATCATATAATTATTTTAAAATTTTATATATAAATCCTATTTTTACATAATTAACTAGCGACTCACCCTCGCTCCGTTCGGGTTCGTTCCTAGTTACGTTTTGACGTTTAGTAGGTATAGATAATAGATTCCTCAGAGATGAGATATTTTCCCGCAGTAAATGTATCCTAACCAGTTATCATCATACCAAATTTCAACAAAATCTGTCCAGTGGTTTTCTCGTGATGCGTTCCCAAACAGAAAGAAAGATAGTCAAAGATTCTAAAAAACAACTATAGATTCGGCCACTGTATCGATAATAATGACTATTTTAATTAGGTTATCCAAAAAATATTTAATGTACAGATTCGACTAAATCGGAATTTTATTATATGAGTAGATTTATGAAGAATTTACATTATTAATAAAATGTACCTAATCTTATATATTATTAATATAATAAGGACAATATGACCTGCTTTTATGAGTATATTTTTATTTCTTTCACAAGTAACAAATAAATATTAGTCTCTCTTGTATATTTTCCAACCATTTTGTTTTTTATTTCTCTCTTCTTTACTGGGTTTAAGGTTAAGGATATTATGTATTACTATTATAAATATTGTAAACTTACGTAAATAACTTCTTAATATCTTTAGATTTAAGATATCAATAAACAAAATAACATTAAAATAAGTTCAGACATTGAATAAGACGTTGAACGAGACGAACAATAATAGACAAAAAAACAGGCAAAGTGTCTTTCTGGCTTTAAAATATCACTTTGTATCAAATCTATTCTTCTTAGGGACAGGAAAGGAAAAAATAGAAAACAAAGCGTCGAAGCAATATATGTATTTATAATCACTATATACTGTCACAGAAGCTATTGTACTTAGTAATACTTATCGCTATACAAAAATCTGTTTAAGTTGTGTAAAGAAATTTTCAGTCTTTCCAATAGATGCAGACGTTTGGTTAAATATCGGATATTCGTTAATTATCATCAAAATCTATCAATTTTATTGTGTATCAATTTAAATAAATATTTCAAACACGCTACATATATAGTTATATTAAAAACCACACCAAATAATTTTGATCGTAATCATTTGTAAATCCATGTATTTTTAACCTAAAATAAATTAGAGTAAAGCAAGACAATGGGCACGCGAGTTTAACTCAAAAATATTTTTAACAATAACAATGGAAGTATTAAGCTATTTCTTATATATTTCATTTAGGTATAATATGTGCATTTTTTGTTCACTACGATGAATTTATTTCATTTATTCGTGCTTAGCTTCTATAGTTATTTTTTTTCAATAATAGTAATATTACCCGCCCACAATAAATTTAGCATGATGGGCAAAACTCCTATACATTATTACGTTTATTTAACTTGAAGTATTACAATTTTTATGCGACATTTTTAACAATTAAAACGGTAGAAATGAACCATGGCAAGCCAAAATGTAGAGTGACCGTACACTGTAGAGTTTATTTCCTTAATATTTTTTATATATAATTAAATTATTTATGAATATTTTTTTCAATAAAAGTCTTGTGATAAATCTGCAATGTACAGTACAGATATTGAGACGATATAACTAAATGCCTTAATAATTCTATACAATATTGCATGAAATAGCTTATTTACAGAAAATTTCATCACAAGGAATCTGTTAACGTTAAACCTAAAAATTGACAAGCTTAATTATTTGATATTTCATAAAAAAAATTAAAACAACCTTTTATATGCACTTAAAAATATGAATGTGCCAGCACTAATATTAGACCATACATACAAACAAACATAAACAAAATTAGAGTTATAATGTAAAGTTAAATTAAATCTAGATTTTGTAATATCATAGGTGGAATTGAACCTGCATACTTCAAGTTTCACAGATGAAAAAAATTATAGATGCTCAAAAAATCATATAAAAATTAATTTAAATGAGAGCTATTATTTATAGTTCTTAAGAAAAAGGTTTTATGTGTCGAAATATTTTCGATACTTAGCATATAAGAAAATACATTAGGTATTTTATAATTGATTTTTTGATAATTTTCACTTTTTTCGAAAAAAAAACCCAAATGCAACAATCACAATTTACTAAATGTTATAATTCTGACGCCATTTTGAAGGAACAAACATTATTATTATATAAAATACATTACAAAATAATATAAATGACCGTCTTTTCTATAATACAATATAATATTAATATTTCAATTCTAACATCAAATTTTGATGTAATATGTATTTAAGAGAACATGTAAAATAGGATTTTTTTGTTAAATTACCAATTTTCACAATAATAAATAAATCTAAATTAAAAATTTTATTACATGTATGCAATTTTAAAGCCAATACACGACATCAAATTTATTTCCTGAAAGAGATTTTCAGCGATAAAAACGTTTTAAATTTTGTCCTGAAACTTACATTTTAGAAAAATTAGGGCATATTCAGACTTATACTGTCATAATTCCTCATGGACCGCGTGTCACTATGAGTACCAGTATTGATTCGAGTTAGTATTTCTTGTTGTAGGGCCTTTAAAGTTCTCATCGCAGAAAGGTCAGTGGAAGGTGCGAGAAGTAAAGCCCTTCGTGCATGGGGCAAAGCGTCTGAGGGCTTATTTAGGGCTAATATAGCCCGAGCCATTGAGTATGCGCATTCGAACGCGTTAGGACGCAAGACGGATGCACGAGCTGCTAAGTCTAGTGCTTCTGATGGTTCCTGTGAAAGAAAGAAAGATATAAAGTTAGTAGTAGACAGTGTAATTGTCTGGATGTATACATTTTAGTTAAATAACTTAAAATGAACAGAAACGAACGAGTTTCCAAGCTTGATGTGTATCGTGTTTATTTCTAGCTAGAAATTATATGTATTTTTCACTTTATTAATATTTAAAGACAATTAAATTAATTGAACAGAATCTTACATTAAGCTTCCGTTTGCACCTCGACAGGTTCAACAGTAAATTAGTCTTCAACTGCACAAAAGCTGATACGTGCTCGTGTGGGAGGGGTTGCGTGGAGGGTGTGGTGAGACCCTCGTCGCTGATGAGAGGGTTGACCTTTTTGAGAGCGTAGTGGTAGCGGTGGGCCGCCTCGGAGGGACGGTTCTTGCGGTATAACATGTTCCCGTCTTCCAATAACTTGTTTAGGAGTATTAGCCTGTAAAAGCAATGTTAACAGTTAAAAAAGTTACATAATTTCTTAGATAGTAAGAATAATTGATAATTCATTAAAAAAAGGTTTCCTTTAAGCAATGAATGGATACGTAATTTCTATATAATAATATTCTCTCTACTGCCAATAATTTGTATAAATACTAACATAAATTCTGGTTTGCCTGATGCCATTACCCACGTGGTAGGACCGAGTTTTGCCCCTTTTCTCAAAAAACAATTCACTACCTGCAACGAAAATAAATATTGCGATAAAATATGACCGTATGAAACTTAACAAATATAAATAATCAAAGCATTATAAATTTAGTATTGCTTTTAATTAAACAATCTATTATTGATATATTTATTCTTTTTATCTACGAAATCATTAATATACAAATAATATTAATAAAGTTAATACGAAACTTACAGGAATATTCCGCTGACCGATAGCTCTGTCTAAAGGCCTCAAGCCGCTGTGATCCACTTTTTCTAGAGACGCGCCTCGCTCTAACAACAGCTCCACTAATTCTGATGGACCGCCACACGCGAGACCGAGAGCTGTCCTTCCGTTACCATCTGGAAGATCTGAAATAATAAAATTGTATTTAGATGATTCATCTTATGTTAAAATTAAAATAACGAATAAATTAAAGTAAAATATTTATAATCTTACCGATAGTAGCCCCTTTGTCTAAGAGTACTTGGATGGTTGGTATTCTTGAACGTAAGCTTGCCCAGCCTAATGGTGAGATACCATCTCCATCAACTGCGTCTGGATCAGCACCTAAAATAAATAACTCGTGCAAATACACTAGAGAAAGAAAATTTTAAAGAGGCAAAAAAAGAAACCTCTCTTTATATATAAGTAAACTCTTCATATTTAGTTAGTTTAGATATAGTTTTATTAACTCTTAACATTAAATCGTTTATTTAAAAAAATTGCGTACCATGAGCCAAAAGCATTTCAACCACATCTGAATGGCCTTCAGCAGCCGCTAATATTAAGGGGTTCTTGCCTCCCGATCCCATCACATCAGCTCCTGAATCCAGTAACCTCAAAACTAAGGCTGTTCTTCCATTTTTAGAAGCCAACGCTAGTGGAGACATCTGCCTCGCATTTAGAGAATATGGAGTTGCACCACGAATTAATAGAGCGTCGGCTATAGCAGCGTTGCCCGTAGAGCATGAGGCTGTGAGTGCGGTTTCGCCTGTTACTGGACATATGCCATCAGGCTGTAAGAAAAAATAATATAAATAACTTTTTAGCATTATTCTTAAAAGGTAAAGGTCTAAAAGTAAAAATCTTAAGAACATACGATTAATTCTGCCGTATCTAGAAGATATTCAACAATATCTAAATGTCCATTCTGAGCGGCCGCTATCAATGCATGTCTTGATCCTGGTACAAGTTGCTCAATATTTTCTTCATCTATATCTAAAGAGTTTCTGTCTTCTTTTCCAGTTTGACACCCTAACAAATATATTACAGTATCTCGGTGACCGTTTTTGGCGGCGTGGACCAGTGGTGTTTGTTCTGCTGTATCAGTGTGACTTAGTGAAGCACCTATAATAATAAATGTTGATAATGAATATAAATAAAATACTTTTCTAATGATAGTTCAATAAAATGTAAAGAAATATCTTGATTCAATACAAAATTGGTGCTTTTGCACAAATTTTATAATATATTATTAAGTAATAAATAAAAAAATGTGTATTTACCTGACGCTATTAACATTCTAGCAACATCAGTATGTCCTCTTTGGCACGCCAAAGACAACGCTGAACATCCTTGAGAATTAGTCATTTCCAAATCAGCACCAAATTCAATTAACAAGCCGACCATTGATATAATACCTTGATATGCATACATACATAATAAAGGAGCGTTACCTAAGCAATCAGTAACTTGATTAGGTGAACCTCCAGCTAATAGCATTAGACGTGAAACTTTGACATTTGGAGTGTATATGTTTCTTAAGTTGGCAATAGCTTCACCAACGTTGCCAGAGCTGGTTGCGACCATCATCGCTTGCAAGTCTCGAGGACATAATCCTAACTGAGCTGGTCCCATATTCCTGTACATATGTGCTTTTAAAATATGGTGTCCCAATTCCATTGATTTTTCAGGATCTAAAGGCGATTGTACCCGAGATAATCTGAATGCTATACCACAGTGCCCTGCTCTCAAATCACACAAGAATTTAGAACTTTCATTATCATCTCTTCGTATTAACCATTCCCTGAATGACGGATGGAAAAACATGTACGTATTATCAATTCGTTTGACCAGAAAATCAGTTAGGGTTTCAAATCTGTGGCAAAATTCTTCCCAAGGTAAAAATGTGTCTACAAGCAGAGCGTTCACTGAATAATAGATTTCTACTAAAGTCAACGGGTATAACGCAGCTAAGCATACACTTAAGATATGTGTGACTTTTTCAAATGACTGTACAGTGGGAAATCTTAAATTGAATTGTAGTAAAAATATTTGTGCTAAAGATATCGGCACGACTTTGTAATTTGTAGATTTTACAACAATATGACTTTTTTCTAGAAGATCTAGTATTAGTTTTAGGAACAAAAACGATCCTTGGCTCAGATGAAGTACATATTGTGCGAATTTTAGGACCGAATTATGTACACCTTCAGTTTTACCAGTCGAACTTTTTATGTTAGTTTCTATTATTGGTGCAGCTTGGACCCTCGCATTGAAGTATTCCAGTAGATCTTTGTTTACATTATCTGACTCATCTAAACTTAGTCTTGTGTATGGTAATTGTTTTGTAAGTTCCAAGAATTGTGATCTGATTGTGGCTACAACTTTAAGCCATGTCGGCATTTCAGGAACGTGCCTTATTAAGAACGACGCGATCGTATAACCATGGTCTGGTCTATGATATTCAGCTTCACAAAGACCATCGACAAGAATAATACTATTAGTCGAATCTATGCTTCCATTTTTCCTCAAAATAATTAAAGGTTCAATTATTCCTCTCATAAAAGCTAAATCTGGGTCTGCGATACATTCTTTCAAGGAGAGGCAGGCTAAAAGATGTGATTCGCTTAGTAAATATTCTCTGTAAGCTTGAAGTCTTGGAGCTTGACAAAGTTGAGCGGCCAATGAATGGACGAATTCTCCGACCAAACAAGTGCTATTGTTATCAGCCTGAAAGAAAATAATAATTTTATAAGGTACTAAAATATATTGTCTTGTAAAAAGTGCGCTACTTAGGAATATCCCTACTGGATAGCACATTTTGACAATATAGAATTTAAATAATAATTAGTACATATATAGTACTCGTTTGTGTGTTTGTATAAGCACAATTCATTTTTATATACATACACTTTTCTATTAAAAACAAAGTATAACTCACTTGGCAGAAATGATAAGCAACTACTTGTGATGCAAGATGGGTAACAATTTCAGTTGATATTTCTTCAGGTAAAACCTCTCTAATATCGGACTGTTCTCTTAGCTCTTCATATTCGAAATTCCTTTTACGACCGAAACATGAATAGTCTACTAATTGTAATATTAACGCTGTTTTTCCAGTTCCTGGACATCCTGAGATTAAGATACCTGAAAAATAAAAAATATATAAGAATCTTTACTATGTAAAGGTAGATACTTAATTTCAGTGTTGCGTCCAACATTGTATTCTGTGTTATGGTAAAGTAACAAAAAAAATGTATGTAAAGTTCTAAGTACAATAAAATACCCAAAAATTATTTTTAGCAAAAACCATATATGCACTTTGCATTACTTAAATTTTTATCTGTTAATGAAAGTATTTACAATCTGTTATTTAAACTGTATATTTGCAATCGTACCAGAGGCAGTGGAGTCTAAAGCTTTCTCCATGTCCCGCATTAACCACTGTCGTCCGGAAAACACATTTTCACTTTCACCAGAAGGAACTTCAAAGAACAGTGGTCGTAAGGTTAGCTGTGGTGCTGGATGAACTGAAATAATATAATAATCAAGTTTAATGATAAATAAATTCGATGTTCAATGTTCTTTGTTATTTGGCATATAGGCTTGCTAATTGGGCACAATTTACTTCGCCAATTCCGTGTAAAATGGAGAAGGCACGGTAGGATAAATAAATTATAAAAATAAGTAAAACAATTAAGTACTTTGAAAAAATAATTTATCTAAGAGTCTCTGACGGAATTTTCAAAATAACTTGCATTTTTAAATGTATTGTGTGTGTGTGTGTTAAATCTAAATGAGGTAGATTTCTATTACTTAAAATAGATTTTGATACCTTTTTTAAGTTCTGATGATGTCGTAGATTGCTTGCTACTAACGCGAGCTGAACGTCTCGCCGCTGTTTTCCGGTTCTTGAAGAAACCACTCGACATTCGTGTCAGCTCCTCTCGCCCTGGTTGTAAAGCTATAAAAAATGAAAATAATTCAAAAATTACTTACAATTCTCGTAGATATTTCTTATACTTTTACAGGTTAATTATTTCCAAAAATGTAAAAACTGTCATATTGATATTGTGCCTTAAAAAGGTAATACGTTAATGCGTATAGGGATTCTTCTATTTTACATTGCTAATCTAAATTTGCACAAACCGACTAATCTGATTGAATTTTTTGAATTCTATCAAATATTGGTCAGATGTGAAAAAAATACTGGGAAGCAAAAAAAAATAACCATTAGAAGTCTAATTACCAGTGACTGAATGCCGTCTGCTGCTAGGACTAGAAGAAGAGCAGTTACTAGCTGCAGACAAGGACATAGATGCCAACGATCCAAGTGAATCTCGTCCTAAAGGTATAGCTGCGTCCACTTCTGATGAACCTGTTAGTGTTGATACCTGAAAGAAAATAATCGCACTACTATTATAAATGCGTAAGTTTATATGTATGTCTGTATGTTTGTTACTCCTTAACGCTAAAACGGCTCGACGGATTTGGGTGAAACTTAATACACAGTTAAACTTTCATCTGGAGTAAAACACAGGCTACTGTTAGTAATAAAATTTTTCAAGAGGTGGCGCCAGTATGTAAAATATTATAAATACAAGAGACACATATAAGGACGCACCTGAGCGAAACAAGGATAAGTCGTTAGTCATACCAATATTATAAAGAGGTAAAGTATGTAAGTTTGGAAGTTTGTTTGTGGGAAGTAATCTCTGGAACTACTGAACCGATTTATATGAAATTTGGTAAGAAGATAGGGAAAGACAGGATAGTTTTTATCTCGGAAATTATCTCTGAAGTAAATGGGGATGAAAGGTTGTATGGGAAATGAACCTAGGGATGAACCCGAGCGAAGCGGGTTTGATTCGCTAGTGTTAAATATTAAACACCATCTAGTAAATAGAGACTATCTTACTATTTACTGGCCACAAGTTTGAGAATTTTCTTGACTCTTTTTTAAAAATTGTAGTCTTGCAGTGGATAAAAACAAAAACAATTCATTATTAATTACATATACCTATTCCTACCGGAGTATTATTATTGAAATGTAGCCAGCTATTTCAAACTTGTACTTATAAGACCTCAGGGCAGTAAGAATTTCACAATTGCTTAGAATGCATATTTATATTCATATTTTATCAGATAACTAATAATTTTGAGGATGCAATATGTGCACGACACACCTGGCGTTTAGCCAGACCATTTTGTTTTTCCCTATTGTTAGGCTTTAAAATTCATCTCGTGTGTGTGGTTAAGTGAAATGAACAAACATGTTATGTTTTATGTATAATATTATTAATGTTAATACACTGTTATCTATACTATCAAAGATGCCGGCAAAAAAGTTTTATAGAAGGTATATTTTTCGTTGAGTCTTGTTTTTGCAACAACAGAAGGCCTTTGAAATGTTTAATGTAATATATTTAAACGAGCAATTGTTGCATATAAATATATATATATATATATATATTTGTTTTGCATTATTCCACGCAAAATATGGTCGCTAATTCGCACGCTAGGACATAAGCATCGTGGTGAAGCGGCCAAGGCGCAACTTTGACAACCACAGGTATCTTGGGTTCGTATCCCGGTCGGATAGTATGAAAAGTATAATGTTGGGTTTAAATAGCAAATATACAATACAATTCAAAAATAATCAGTACTTACTGGACTAGTGTTGTGCGAAGCTAGCGTATGCGCGTCCAAAGATGCTAGTGATGTACAACTATCCCGGGATTTCCGGGATCCACGTCTCTCTCCTAAAAGTAACCCCAAACGCATGTAGAGATCATTTTGTCGTCTTGATTCATAGCCTTGTTTGATATGACCGCCTTCGTCATCTGGAAATACGATTTTATTTTAGTTTTTGATATATGTTAGGACAGACATGCAACACACATACCATGCTTGTGCTGTATTTATAGTGAATATACAATATACATACAACATAAATAATTAATATACAAGTGACATTATATATTGATGTATTTCTTTGAATAAAATATGAATTTGCCATTAGTTATCTTATTATACATACATATATTGGCCTTTGTCAGTGCATATGTAAGCGCAGATTTCTTGTAAGAGTTTATATAAGACAGACGACGATTACAAAATAATGACTGAATATTAGCATTATAAATACAATAAAACATTATTTTTATTTGATACAATATTTAAGAGTGTAGTTTCTATTCCATAAGCTAATAAAATACTAATGTAGATACTAACACAAAAACTAAAATTTTTAATTATTTTAAAACGTAATCAAAAAATAAAGTATTACATTAACATCAAACACATGCTTAAAAACTATACTGAAAAAAAAAAACAATAAACCCATGATAATAAACTCTGAAAACCATGCATCTGATAAAAAAAAACAATATTTAGATTTTACAGACAGTTTCTCTAGCTAAATAATAAAATGACAAAAATGTGATTATGGCGTGATTTTGATTAAGGCTCTGTTAAACTATATATATATATATTTATATCCATTTAAAACGAGAGATTTTCAACATTTGTATTGTATTCTTGCCAGAATTCCGCGCGGGCATTATTTATATAGTATAATTTAAGTGTACATTTGCTTAGTATAAATAAATAAATAAATAATAATATATGTTGGGACATTAACACACAGCACCATCTAGTTCCATGGTAAGCTACGATTCTTCTGTTATGGATGCCAGATAGTTGATATACTACACATATATAACTTTAAATACATACATATTATATCAACATACTTAAAAATAAACATCCATAGCTGGAGTACCAACATTCGTGCTCATCACACAAATGAATGCCCCCAGCAGGACTCGAACCCACGACCGCTGGTACAGCAAATACAAACTAAGCCAAACGTGTCGTCAAATAATTGTTAAAATTTAAGTATATTTGTAATTTTCTTTTATTGTAAATAAATAAAGTCAATATCATTAACTACCTATTAATAAAATTGTATTAATTAAAATCATGTGAAGAATTCATAGGAAATTAAAAGATTTCATATAAAGAATGTACATAATATTATGTACACTAATTTTTTTGTCGACGACTCATCAAAAGTAGTTAAAATTCTCAGAAGTTACTAGTCTATGTCGTTAATTGTTATAATTACTTTGAACAAGTAGTGGTAACTCGGTACAAACAATAGCTAAAACTTTATAACTTCCCATAGATTATCCGATAAAACATACTTATTCACACCAAAATAAATAGCTTTCTGATCAATATGTATGAGGTTTGTTGTTTAGAAATTATTTTTACAGGAAATAAGATTTAAAAGTTTTAAACGTTGTGAGAAACGTCCAACGTGTATGATTATTGTATAAGTCTTATGTCATGGCTGAATTATTCGTTTAATTATAACGTGGGATCACAGTATTAAACTTCAAGATACGGTCAGTTGGTATAGTATATTGACACTATCTACTTCTAAGATGTAGTGAATCTGATTTCTAGAGTGAGTCTTCACTGATATATATAAATAAAATTTATTCAATTTGTTAGTTTGAAGTGAGTCTGAAGTTAGCGTGAAATCGAAAATGTTATTTATACATATGATAAAATTGTAACTAAGGCGAATCTGTACATATATATATATATTTCAAAACACTTGTAATAAGTCTAATTGAATAAATTTTATTTCATTTAATTTAAAACTACTTTAATATAAGCAAGTTGAAATAATTTTAAATTTTACGCTCAACCGAAATTTTCGGTTATAAATAAATAAACGGATGTGCAGGGAATACTTTTTCAACGGTATGTAGTTAGTCTGCGGTGTAAGACGAGACGTGCACCTGTTCGTGAGAACTCAGTGGTTCCGCAATTTTAATACGATATCTCTACAGCAGTGAAAAGGACGATTTTGTTGAGAGAATGTATTTCTTTGTAAGGAAGAGCGTATTTTTATTTCAATAACTAGTTTACATATTCATATTAAATAAAAATATTTCGATTTATTTATTCTATAAAATAAGATTAAGATGAATCATAAAAAATAGCAGCAGATTGACATACATATATATATATATATATATATATATATATATATATATATATATATATGTATATATAAATAATGCTGGATGCTCTAAAATAGCCGAATATAAATAATTTCTCTTTACTGCTTACGTTATAAGCACGAAGATAGTAATTTGTCAAACTTATCCACACATTTTTAGCAGATGCATGAGTCTGTTATTTTGTCTAAATTACTAAATAACAGTTAAGTGAAGTTTTTGTTACCAGTTTGTCTAGATTATCAAGTTTCGTGGCTTCACTTCAAAAGAATCGAAGAATACGACCATTGTTAAGTTTTCCTTGAACCATGAGATTGTATGCGAAAGTTGTTGACCTATTTACTAAATGTTTAATTGATCGACTTTAAAGAAGGAGGTACAATTCTGGGATACATTTTTATATATATTATGTTAAATCTTATTTTCATGATCCTTGATTTTATGACTATATTTTCATTACTTTCAATAATTGATATATCTCAAAAACGGGTTCATATTAACTTAATAACCCTAAAGAAATCTTAGAAACCAAAGAAAGTCAAGGAAGTCTTAGAATTTCATATGAATCTCTGTTATTTAAGCTATTATTGAAGCTATTACTTTTTTGTGTCTTTACTTCTTTGATTAAGAAAAAAAAATGTGCAATTAGGAATTTCTTCCAAAAGCTTTATATATGTACGTACGCTTCGCTGGGGTTCGTACGTTTACTTTACGTCGTAGGTGCGTTTTAACGGTTAGTATGGAAAAGATAAACTATATTATATGATATATTGCCTTCCTCAATAAACGGGCTATCTTATGCAAAATAATTTTTCAAATCGGATCAGTAGTTCCTGAGATTAGCGTGTTTAAACAAACAAACTCTGCCTCTATATAATATTCGTACAGATTATATTCGTTCGAAATCAGAGATACTTATATATTTTAATTTGCATATATGCGCCACACAGCTAGTGCTTAAATAAAGCTTGGTTGAAGCCCTAGTATTTACATTATATACAAAGAGAGAGCTCGGTCGTGACATTTGTGAAATGGCTCGCCCAATTTATGGTTTTCGTGAATCCATGAAACATTCTCAAGTCATGATTTAAATTAAATACATAATTAAAATATAATTGCATGGAGACAGTGTTCGTGGACGTCCATTTGTTAAAAGATGCTGGTCATTAGTTAATTTCAAAGTTAAACTTAATATTTATTAACTTAACCACTTCCAAGATATTAATAAAATGTGTGAAATTTTGTAAGACTTTCTAGTTTTGTTACGATTTCAGTTTTGAAATACTTGTTAGTTTGAAGTGAGTCTGAAGTTAGCGTGAAATTGAAAATGTCATTTATACATATGATAAAATTGTAACTAAGCCGAATTTATATCTTAGATATTTTTTGAAAAATCTTATTGAAATAAACATTATTATCGATACAGAGGCCGAATCTATAGTTTTTAGAATTTTTATCTGTCTTGTCTGTACATCTATCTGTTACCGAATCACAGATAAACCACTGGAGGGATTTTGATGAAGTTTGGTATGGTGATAGCTAGTTATCCGGGTCAACATGTAGGATACTTTTTACCGCGAGAAAATGTCTCATTTCTGAGAAAAATACAAAAACTGCTATGTAAGAATACGAGTATACTGATATGTAAAACCTAAGAATTTAGTTTTTGGTCATCTGAACGCGGACGGAGCCGTTGGCAATGCTAGTACAGAAATAAAAAGTAGAGCTATAAAAAAAGAAATAATTTCACAAAAAATCAAAGTAAGTAGGTATGCCTTTAAGTAATTTTTTTTACTTACTGTTTAAAAATGCTATTTAAGTTACAAACTCTTTTCTTAAATTAATTTAAAATAATTTATAAAAAGTTTTAAAAACCAATTGTTAAATATAGACCGGGCGAAGTCTGGTCGGTAGCTTGTAGCTTTTATATTCACAAACACGATGTATTAAAAGCTCGTGCAAGCTTTGCAAATTCACACTTTGAGTGTGAAGTTTGAGCAGCTATTTATTAGATCATTGAGCTTTGACATAACAAAATAAAGTAAGCGGTCATTTTATAGCTGGTCATTAACCTTTGATATTTTGTTATATAGCATTTCATTAAAATTTACAATTTCGTAACGACAATATTGATATATATATATATATATATATATATATATATATATATATATATATATATATATATATATAGGTAATTCAAGTAACTAAGTCGTTTTTAACAATAATATAATTTTAGTTGTATTTTTCCTTCAGTTGTAGAAAAATATGTTTTATTTCTACTCCTAATTTCTAAATATCTTTTCTAGAATTTTAGTTCATTACACGTATTTATCTACATATGTAGGGGGCTTAAGCGAAAGCTAATTCGAATTAATGTTTGGTGTTTTGTATATATATATATATAATGAAATTTTAATTAATTCTAATCTGTACATTAAATATTTTTTGGATGTTATCGATACCGAAGCCGAATCTATAGTTTTTAGATTTTTTGTCTGTTTATCTGTCTGTGACCGTATCACGACAAAACTACTTTGATGAAATTTGGTATGATGATAGCTGGTTATCCAGGTTAACATATAGGATGCTTTGTAATGCGGGAAAACATCTCATCTCTGAGAAGTCTATACCTACTAAACTTAAAAACGTAACTAGAGACGAACCCGAGCGAATCGAGGGCGAATCGCTAGTATATAATAAGAATTTACATATTAAATAGAATATATAGCTCTATAAATTACCTTAGTAAAATCTCACACCTTACCTTAACATAAAGCTAATCCTATGACAAACTGTTGCAACGC